TGGCTACAAGGCTCCGGAGAAGCCCTGGGAGCTGCCCCCTGGGCACACGCGGGAGGGGCCCACCACGGGGGACGCCTCACTCGCTGGCTACAAAGGTACAAAGGGTCGTTTTTCCAATCATTGCTTCCGCCCAGGCGACCCCCCTGGGCCCTGCTCCTTCCCACAGAGCAGCAGGTACCCTGAGGGGTGGCTCCCCGATTCTATCACTGTTTGGATGCTTCTGGTTACTTAGGAGCGGTTGACAAGGCCAGTCACCTGCTGGGGTTGAGCACAGTCACAGCACCTCCTTCCACGGTCACACGCCGACCGAGGGACGCCGTGCATGGGGGTGCGGGGGGTGCGGGGGGCGCGTGGGCAGAGAGCACGTTGTAGTCTGGCGACGGCTGAGCCGGTCTCACTGTCTTTTCTACAGCCTGGTCCTTAGTTAAAAACGTTCTGGCCCCTGGCTACTCGGTGTGAAGCAGATTCTCACTCCTGTTTGAGTTTTTGCTTTTTCTTCGCAAATCCAGTTCTGCCACAAGCAAGGAACCTCTCCGGGAGTCAGCACTGGTTCCTAATTCCATCATCTACTTGGGTTTTCCCTTCTGGGGGCGGCCGAGCCCCACCTTTCGCCCACTTTCTGTTAAGCTTCCGTATTTTCCTGATCGTTTCTTTCATCCGCTCACTTGCTCAACGAGGGCTCGCTGGGCCGGGGAAGGCCTCCGGCTGAGGGCCGGCTCGGCCGGGCAAAGGCCCAGGGTGGGAGTGAGTCCGTGTGCCCAGAGCGGCGGCCGGCCGGAGTGCCCGGGGCCTGGTGAGCGGCCCGCGGGGGAGGACGGCCCACAGAGCTGGCAGTGGGCAGGTCATGCGGGCGCACCCCAGGGCCTTTACATCTCCTTCTCGGAAGGGAGCCCGAGGGCTTTTTTTCTTTTTATTGTGGTAAAAATGAACCTGATGTCAGATTCACCATCACCCAAACCACCAACGGAAAAGGAACCATTTTAAAGTGAACAGCGCAGAGGGGCTGCGTACATTCACAACCGCAACCGTCCGTGCCCCCAAACTGACACTGTCCGCTTCGACACCCCCCAGCTCCCGGCATCCACCAGCTGCTCCGTCTTGTTTTTTTTTTTTTTTTTTTTTAATCCTCACCCGAGGACATTTTTCCATTTTTTGTACAGACAGAGTGGGAGGGAGAGAGAGGAAGAGAGAGAGAGGGAAACATCGACGTGAAAGGGACACATCGAGTGGCTGCCACCCGCACGACCGACCAGGGCCGGGGACAAACTGCAACCGAAGTACGTGCCCTTAGCGGGAACCGAACCCGGGTCTCTCCGGACCGCAGGCCGATGCTCCAACCGCTGAGCCAAACCGGCCAGGGCCGCTCCGTCTCGTAACCCTGACTGCCCCAGGGACCTCTCACGCGGGGAATGAATCACACAAGGCGTCTTTCACGGAGCACAGGGCCCTCCAGGTCCATCCGCGCCGCGGGCCAGGACTTCCTCGTCTGTAAGACGGCCGCTCGCCCATGGTTGGGGACCGCACTTGACCTTCTATTCACCCACGTCCACGTGGGGTGCAAACACGCTGCCATGAACTTTCATGCGCAAGTATTTGTTCGGGTCCCTGCTTCCGGCTTTTGGGTGTGCTGCAGAGCCCCCAAGACAGGTGGCGCCACCACGGGAGAGCGGGCGAGGGGCTGGGTCCCGCGGCCTGCAGGTGGGTGGACGGAGGGGCCCTTCCTCCGCCGTGAAAGGGAAAAGGCAGGAGGCTCTTCGAAAGGTCCTGCCAGAGCAGGGGGTGAACGGCGCTGTCACTCGCGGGGGGGATGGGAGTTCGTCTGGGGGCAGGTCCATCCCGATCTGAGGTCCTCGCGTGGTCTACGCTCGGCGTCCTCGGAAACCACGGGCACTGACCACGGGCTCGTGTCCTTGCCAGCGGCTCCTCCTCCTCGACGAGGGGAACATCTGACTCTCCTGACGGTCTTGCTTGGATTTTATTTCTTCGACCTCTGCTCATTCCAACCTCGCTTCCCCGCCATACCCCTCGCCTTACTTCCGACGCTCCTTTGTAATTTCACGTTACATACGTCCCATTGATTGCCGCTGTCCCGGTGATTCTAAGTTATTTAAACACTCTTTTTCCGGCTGGTGTGGCTCAGTGGTTGAGCGTCGACCCTGCACCAAGAGGTCGCCGGTTCGAGTCCCAGTCAGGGCACATGCCCAGGTTGTGGGCCCGATCCCCAGTGGGGGGCTGCAGGAGGCGGCCCATGGATGTGCTCTCTCATCGATGCTTCTATCTCTCCCTCTCCTTCCTCTCTCTCTAAAAATTAATAAAGAAAAAACAACACTTTTTTTTCCAGCTCAAGTCCTATGACACAAAGTGGAAAAAATCACAAGGGCCGTCCACCTTAGTCCCGCCGCCCCTCACGGGTCCGAGACGCTGCAGGGAGGCTTTCGACCGTCCGTGCACCCCGTGCACCCGTCCGCCGCGCCCCGCAGTGAGCTCGGGATCGCACGGGTCTGCGGGTCCGAGCCTGCGGACCAGCAGCGCACTGTGCCTGGGGAGTCGCTAACGGGGCACCGGGGGAAACGTGTAACGTGTCCGAGCTCAGTGAGATAAAGATGCTGGTTTCAGGCCAGAGAAATTCAGAGCAGCTGAGATTGGAGACAAACACAAGCAAGCAAAGCCCGCTGACGTCCGCAATGCGCCAGCAGGGGGGCAGGATGCAGCGCTGGCTGCAGAGTGGTCGCCCCACACCTGCGGCAGGCGGAGGGCCTGTCCCCCCCACAGCCCCTGCGGCAGGCGGAGGGCCTGTCCCCCCCACGGCCCCTGCGGCAGGCGGAGGGCCTGTCCCCCCCACGGCCCCTGCGGCAGGCGGAGGGCCTGTCCCCCCCACGGCCCCTGCGGCAGGCGGAGGGCCTGTCCCCCCCACGGCCCCTGCGGCAGGCGGAGGGCCTGTCCCCCCCACGGCCCCTGCGGCAGGCGGAGGGCCTGTCCCCCCCACAGCACCTGCGGCAGGCGGAGGGTTGGGGCCAAGGAACAGGCCCTCGAGGGCTCAGGCCGAGTCCGTGCGGCCCACTGGCCCGCTGCCCTTAAGTGAGAAACACACTCGGAACGAACTCCCTCCCATCACCACCTGGAGGGAATCTGTCCGTTTCTCAGTTTCACTTCCATTCCTACCCAACCACCGCCCCTTTGAGGTCCTGAGATTTTTTGTTCCACATTGTTATTAATATTTTAAATTCTGCATGAAAGTTGTTTGGTTGTCCTTTTCTCCTTCGCTCCGTTTCCTTCCGTGGCCCTTCGCTCCGTTTCCTTCCGTGGCCCCCTCGCTCCGTTTCCTTCCGTGGCCCCTTCGCTCCGTTTCCTTCCGTGGCTCCTCCGCTCCGTTTCCTTCCGTGGCCCCCTCGCTCCGTTTCCTTCCGTGGCCCCCTCGCTCCGTTTCCTTCCGTGGCTCCTCCGCTCCGTTTCCTTCCGTGGCCCCCTCGCTCCGTTTCCTTCCGTGGCCCCTTCGCTCCGTTTCCTTCCGTGGCTCCTCCGCTCCGTTTCCTTCCGTGGCCCCTTCGCTCACCTCGGAACCTGTGGCTGACGGGCTCAGAGGGTGTGTGGGAGGAACGTTTTCTGAATCTTCCTCTGCTTGTCGCCACGCTATTTCCCTCAACATTTCACGCCCCGCTGGACTAGGTATGGAGTCTGGGGTTCAAAATGATCCATCTTCTCGTCTTCATGGTTCTGTCCCTTTGCTTCCAGCGGTAGTTCAGCAGGTAAGAATTGTGGGGCGGCGGGGAGCCTCTGTCTCTCATGGAGAGGCGCCGGGTCAGGAACCGCCAGTGCTCGCAGTGTTGGGGCTCATTCTGGGGTCACCTGTTGTGTCTCTCAATCCGAACTGAGCCAGGTGTCCTTCATACACCTGCACCGAACTTCATACAACAGCACGCATGTGGGCCCCCTGCTCCGTCCTGCCCTCGGCGGTCCTTGCTCAGGGCGAACTGCGTCTCCAGTCTGCGACGGCTCTTTGCTGTCCGTGGTCTCTGGTGGCCTGTGGTCTCCAGTGTTCCATGGTCTCCAGTGGTCCGTGGTCTCTGGTGGCTCGTGGTCTCCGGTGTTCTGTGGTCTCCAGTGGTCCGTGGTCTCTGGTGGCCCGTGGTCTCCAGTGTTCCATGGTCTCCAGTGGTCCGTGGTCTCTGGTGGCCCGTGGTCTCCGGTGGTCTGTGGTCTCCAGTGGTCCGTGGTCTCCAGTGGTCTGTGGTCTCTGGTGGTTCGTGGTCGCAGTCCCCCGTGTCCCCTGCATGCACCAGTGCTCCCACAGGTGTTATCTGATGTCAACTCCCTGCCACTGTCCGAGGGCCCCAACCCAGTTCATCATGCCGTGTAGCTGCAGTTCCTGCCCCTCCCACAGCAGCGCCATGAAGACGATTTCGTGTAGGGACTGAATATCCCCTCCATGGGGGTCTGTCTAGGCCGTGGTGGCACTCCCCAGCCCCTCCTGTTTATCTGGGGCCACATGACTTGTTCTGGCCCCTTAACAGTGAGCTGACAGGCCGTGTGTCCCTCCTGGGCTGGGGCATTTCTGGCCAATGGGAGGCCCCCTGGAGCTCACCCACAATGAATGACAATGTTCAGACACTGTCTGCTGTCAGACAGATTCTGGAGTGAGGACCACAGAGGAGACGCCCCGCGGACCTTCAGGGGACGCGCAGCGCGAGGGAGAGACAGACCCGTCCCGTGGTGCTGAGGTTTGGGGACATTTGTTCCTGCAGCAGCTGACCCACCCTGACGGGTGCACGGGGGCGCCAGACGCCCCCCTTCTCCCTCTGCGCAGAGGTGGTGAGCGCCCCATGAGCACCCGCAGGCCTGCAGGCCTTGCCCAGACCGTGCGTGTCCTTCACGGACTCTGTAGCTGAGGTCGGGGGAGCCAGAGACACCTCGAGTTCAGTGGGTCCCACGCTGCCATCAAGTCGAGGCTCAGCCTGGAGTCGGCGCTGGTGGGGCAGGCGACGGGGCCCCAGGGCCACGAATCAGAAGCACCTCCGACTGACGGCAGAGGAGCCGACGTCCTTGTAGTCGTTACTGGTGACCCACATGTCCTTGAAGGTCGAGAGTGAGCACAGGATGGAGCCGCCCACCCAGGCACCATATACGGAATGCGGGCAGGTGGCCACCTGGAGGGGGCGCGGAGAGGGGGAAGGGAGGGGAGGGGGGGGTCCGAGGGCAGAGAGGGTGAGAAATGTGAAACCAGAATCAATTGGGGGCACAAAGTACCAATTCCTGAACAAGCTTCTTCCCCCCAGAAAATACAGTTTCTTCCGCCCATTAAAGATGCTTCCCGGTCCAGCCCTGGCCGGTGTGGCTCAGCAGTTAGAGCTTTGGCCCTCGGACCAAAGGGTCTAGGGTTCGATTCCTGGCCAAAGGCAAGTGCCTGGGTTGTAGGTTCAACCCCTGGCCCTGGTCAGGGTTGTGCAGGAGGCAACCAATGGATGTGTCTCTCTCACATCGATGTCTCTCTCTCTCTCCCTTCCTCCCTTCCACTTTCTCTAAAAATCAATGGAACCCTGGCCGGTTTGGCGTCGGCCTGCGGTCCTGAGAGACCGGGGTTCGGTTCCTGCTAAGGGCTTGTACCTCGGTTGCAGTTTGTCCCCGGCCCTGATTGGGTCATGCGGGTGCCAGCCACTCAATGTGTCCCTTCACCTCGATGTTTCTCTCTCTCTCTCCCCCCACCCCACTCTATCTGAACCAAAAAAAAAACAAAAATCAATGGAAAAACATCCTCGGGTGAGGAGTCACAAAAACATTAATAAATGAAGATGTTTAACGGCCCCGCCCCCCGCCTGCCCCTCTCGGTCGCTGCAAATGCACAGCCCGTCTGTGTGTCCACGTAGCACCGCCGACGGCACGCCTGCCCGAGGGACGGACCCCGCCCGGCACGGGGCCTCTGCTCTGCAGGGACGGCCACCTCGCCCACGCTGTCATCCGTGGCAGAGGAGAGGACCCGAGCCAGGGCTGGGGACCGGGAGGGCTCGGGGGTTCGTGGCGGCAGGAGGGAGGCTGCCTGCAGGCTGGGCCCTAAGGGCGGGCGCAGGGCCCACACCCTCAGCCCACAGACGGAACTGAGAGGGAACCGCCGCGTGAACGGCGGGCTGCAGCCCGGACAACGTCAGTATCGGCTGGACGGTGACGGACCCACATGAACGCAGCGTTGGGGGGCGGGGGAGAGGGGAACTCTCTACTTCCTGCTCTAAAAAGTAAAGGCTATTAGCTCTGGCCGGCAGCTCAGGTGGCTGAAGCATCCTCTCAATACACCAAGGTTGTGGGTTCGATCCCCGGTCAGGGACAGACAATAATCAACCAATGGAAACATCAATAAGTGGAACAAATCGATGTTTCTATCTCTCCCCCTCTCTAAAATCAATAAAGGACAAAAAAAAATTTAATAAATAAAATCAGTATCAATCAATAAAGACTATTCTTTTTTTAAAATTTTCTCTATTGATTTTAGAGAGAGAGGAAGGGAGAGGGAGAGATAGAAAGATTGATGAGAGAGAACATCGACTGGTCGCCTCCTGCACGCCCCCCACTGGGGATCGGGCCCACAACCTGGGCATGTGCCCTGACCGGGAACTGAACCGGCGACCTCTTGGTGCAGGGTCGACGCTCAACCACTGAGCCACACCGGCCGGGCTAAAGACCATTCATTTTAAAAGACAATTTTACAGCGGCGATGAGATGCCGGGGGAAACTCCGCAAAGGGGTGGCAGGTGACTGGTTCCCAAAAGCCAGCGCGAGGGGCTTCAGGGCAGGCCTTCCACGCACCCTGCCCAGGAGGATAGCCGTGCGTGGCCTCTCCGCGTGGTCCCTCTCCCTGTGGGATCACGGGAGCTCGGTCCCTGGCGACACGCCTCCCGGTGGTCAGTCTGTCTGTCTGTCTGTCTGTAAGCAGCAGACCCCCCGAAGCCTCCACAGTGTGCCCAGGTCTCCACGTCCCTCCCGATGTCTGTCCTCCAACATGAGGCATCGCAAACTGCACGTGGCCAAAGGGCCACCACACCCCCCCGAAGCGGCCCCGGGGTCTTGCCGGGCTCAGGGGCTCGGGGCAGCGCGCAGGGGCACGCCCTGCCTCTGTCTCCCAGCAGGCATCTCCTCCCTGCACCCCGTTGCTGGTCCGGCCACCCCCGCGCCTGCGCTGAGCCTCCAGCAGCCGTCCCTGAATCAGCACCACGTCCGCTGTGTCCCGGCGGGCCGCCTGCTCCCCGCATCCCGATGCTGCGCCCTGCCCCCACAGCCCAGACCACCTGTCAGCGCCTGGCCCGATGGGGCCATCGCTCTGACTTTGGTGCTTTCTCGTCTCTCTTGGGGAAACGCCTTTCACGCTTCTCTGACCTCATTACCCTTCCCCCTCCCTCCGCACCGCCAGCCCTGCCCAGCGCGTCCTCCGGGAATCAGCCTCTGGGCTGCCGCAGGGCTGTTCCCTCCCCTGAATGCTGTTCCCCGGATACCACATGGCTCCCGCTCACCCCCGTCGAGGATTTCCTCACGGGCCCTTCCCGAGGAGACCCACACTGCCCCCCTTCCTTTGCGGCGGGGAGCCCCTGGTGACAGTAACCCCCGTGGTCTGTTGACTTGCTTTGTCCTCTATGTCCCCCCATTGGACACGACACTTCAGTTCCCCGAGCGCCTGGCATGTGCCTGGCACCTCACAGACTTCCAGGAAGACCCGTGCAGAGACCTCAGGGCGGACGGGCGGACGGACCTGCACGCTGATTGTCGGGGACACCAGGGCGGACAGTTCCTTCTGCATGCGGGACCGCAGGCCAGAGCAGGAGCCGGTGCCCCCGGAGAGCATCACGTGCCGGAACAGGACCTTCCAGAGGTCGGGGCTGCAGGAGCTGATGCTGTGGAAGGCCGTCGTGTGGATGCCCAGGCTGTTTCTCCCTGCGGGCGGGCGGAGGGCAGAGCGGCTGAGGCTCAGCGGCGCCTGGGCCCGAGCGGCACACAGCGGAATTTGCTGTCTGCCCTGCCCGCCCGACGGCTCGGTCAACCCGACGCTCCCGGGAAACCTCTACAGCAGCCACGTTTCCAAAGTTCCCTCCAAATCTAGGGTTACTGTGTTCTGCTTTAATTGCCTTAATTTCTGACTTTCAAATGACTTTGTACATAGGTGGCGCAGGAACAACGCAGAAGGAAGGCACACGGCTCCGTCACCCTGCACCTGTCCAGCACCCGTGGGCGACCTCGGCTGTAGCGTGGGAGAATGCGGGAGCGGGGGAGGGCCACAGGATGCCACCACGCATGGCAGTCGGCAAACCAACGGGCATATAGTAGGTGCTTAATAAATGGCAGCTACATCCGGCCGGTGTGGCTCAGTGGTTGAGCGTCCACCCTGCACCAAGAGGTCGCCGGTTCGATTCCCAGTCAGGGCACATGCCCAGGTTGTGGGCCCGATCCCCAGTGGGGGCGTGCAGGAGGCGGCCCATGGATGTTTTCTCTCATCGGTGTTTCTATCGGTCTCTCCCTCTCCCTTCCTCTCTCTCTAAAATCATTAAAGAAAAAAGTTCTTTAAGTAAAAAAATAAAAAATAAATGGCAGCTGGTGTCAGAGGGACTTTGAAATGGGACACACACTTGGTACTCAAAGCAGAACCCCCTCCTGGCCACATGAGCTCCTGTTTTCTGACCACAGTCCACCTGTGCGTGCCTGGGCTCACCTCTGCCCCCTGGGCTCACCTCTGCCCTCTGGGCTCACCTCTGCCCTGGGCTCACCTCTGCCCCCTGGGCTCACCTCTGCCCCCGGGCTCACCTAGGGGTCAGTCCACCTGTGCACTGTGTGTGCCTGGACTCACCTCTGCCCCCAGGCTCCCCTCTGCCCCCGGGCTCACCTCTGCCCCCCGGGCTCCCCTCTGCCCCCGGGCTCACCTCTGCCCCCTGGGCTCACCTCCGCCCCCAGGCTCACCTCTGCCCCCTGGGCTCCCCTCTGCCCCCTGCGCTCACCTATGAGGTCTGTCTGGAAAAGAGCCTCCGGGCAGAAGAACCTCTCCTCGCCCAGCTCAATCTCCCGGCCGTCGGGCAGCTTATACTTCTGCGAGTGGACAGCCACCTTTTCCTCGTCGAAGTGCGGAGCCACGTAGCAGCACCTCTCCTTCAGGTCCCGGATGTACTCGCGGTCACCTGGGGAGGCGGGAGCGGCCAGGTGGGACAGGGTCGACGGGCAGCTGAGTTCGCAGCGCGCTTCCCCGGGAGCTCCTTCCCGGAGATGCCGTCCTCGGGGCGGGACGGGACTGGGGCCCTTCTCCCTTCCTCTGGGACTCCAGCACCCCTTGATCTGAGATGCGTGTCGGGGCCCAGGTGTGTGGACGAGAGAGCAGAATGGAGATGCCCAGGCCAACATGCGAGTGTGTGAGACACGTCCGCAGGTGCAGGTCGTGGGCGTCCTGGGGCCGGACAAGCAATCCAGTGTTGTCATCTACTGACGTAGGGGTGCCGTTGGGGCCTCAGCCCCCTCCTCTGCCCGGGCCCATCAAAGCCCGTGATCTGGAAACATCTGGGAGGTGACGCTGCCCCCTTTCTGGGTGGCTGACAGCAGGTTCGAGACCCAGCCATGCCTTCCGGGGTCACGGTTTGATGTTCCACTTACCAGTGCTCCCCAGTCTGCCTCGGGGGAGCCCCCTGCACCGGCTCACCGGCAAGTGGGGCTGATTCTTCTCCACGGGCCTCTGGCCGGCACCCGCGCCCACTCCACCTGCACTGGTCGTGCCCGGCTTCCCAGCCCCCAGCCCGCCACGCCCTTCTCCTGTCCCGGCGCGGGACGCGGCACGCCCCGGGTATTCCCCTTCCTCGCCTGGTCTGCATTTTGGTGAGACAGATCGATGTTCCAATCCCACCCCCGCCATTTACCAAGTGCCCGGTGCGAAGCAAGTCCATTATCCACTTACACCTTCCAGGGTGGGATCAGTCACGACTCGTGGGACTGTTGTAGGGACGAGAGGACATGGCACCCACAAAGAGCTTGCGCAACGTCTGACTTGTCCCCGCCAAGCCCTCCCACTCTCCCTGCTTGCGCCTTCATCACTGATGTTCTTTAGGCTCCTCACTTGGCTGGGCTTTGGGCACAGACCTCTGGCCCGAGACCAGCAGGCCCTGCAGGGTGATGGGCTCGGGGGGACTGGGTGAACAGTGGGGCAGTCACTCCTCGCCTGGAGTCCTTGGTTCTACACCTGCTGCTACACCTGCTGCTACACCTGCTAGCCAAGGCGTGTGCAAGCCCCTTACCCTTCCTAAGCCCCTTCCTCTGGCAACGGAGGTGACTGCCCCCCTCCTTGTGGCACGGAGAAACGAGAGGATGTGCTGAAGTGTTTACATAGCCCAGTAGCTTGTACAGGACAAGTACCCACACAGCTCAGCTCATCATCATTGTCACCATTTCATCACCATCACCACCATTATCATCGTCATCACCATCACCATAACGATCACCATCATCACCATCATCGTCATTGTCACCATCGCCATCACTATCACTACCACTATTATCTCCATCATCATCATCATCATCACCACCATCACCATCACCACCATCACCATCACTAGTATCTCCATTAACATCACCATCATCAGCATCACCATCACCATCACCACCATCACCATCATCAACACCATCATCACCATCACCATCATCATCATCACCATCACCATAACGATCACCATCATCACCATCATCGTCATTGTCACCATCGCCATCACTATCACTACCACTATTATCTCCATCATCACCACCATCATCACCACCATCACCATCACTTGTGTCTCCATTAACATCACCATCCTCATCATCAGCATCACCATCACCACCATCACCATCATCAACACCATCATCACCATCACCATCATCAACATCATCACCATCATCACCACTATCGCCATCACTAGTATCTCCATTAACATCACCATCCTCATCATCACCATCATCATCACCACCATCACTATCACTATTATCTCCATCAACATCACCATCATCATCATCATCACCATCACAACCATCACCATCATCACCATCACAATTATCATCATCCTCACCATCCTCATCATTCAACTACAGGTCCCTAAACACAGATGGGTTGTTTTCAGAACCTGGATGATGGTCACGTAGCCTCAGCTTTACAAGTTGGGGGCTGTAGGTTGAACAAGCCAAAAAGAATATTACCCCGAGGACTGGTGTATCTGGCCAACAATAGCCACTCCCTACCTAGGCTAGTCAACAAGTTCCCCTTCTTCGACAGCAGCTGCAGGAGGTAGAGGGTTATGTCTTGTCCTGCCACGTCCATCTGCAGGGTCGACTGGCGCAGAGGACAGCCGTCGGTGATGGGCACGAAGTATGTCATGCCTTCTCCAGCTTCGATGGTCGTTCCTGGACAGGAGAGCACACTGGCGTTGCCATGTGGGGGACATGGCACCCTCACCAGCTGTCAGTCAGCGGGACGAGATGGCGGATGGGGAAGTCTGGGGAGCAAACTGTCCCCCCCGTGGGGAGTGTGCCGTTTGGCAGATATCCGGGTCTGACCCGGGCTGACTGCTCTGGGCAAGGAGTCTACAGGTGTTCTTATTAAACCAGACGCACAGGCAGCAGCAGCCAAAGAGGTGAAAGAGGCGAACAGTGTATTCTGAACGCCTTCCTCCCTGGAGAACTTCCCGTGCGTGGGTGTGGCCGCTGGGCTCTCGGGGGCGCTGGCGGGTTGGAGGGGTCTGAGGGCCACGCAGGGAGCGTGCCTTTCAGTGAGCCAGGAAAATAAGCACCCTGGGACCGTCAGAAGGGGGCGATGCGGTGATGGGGACACGGCCTCATTCCGTGTGGAGTGGCTCCTTCTGGAACCATCCACGGCTCATTGGGGTCCGGGGAGTCGGCGTCTTTCGCTGTGGAGGCTTCCGGTTTAGAGGAAGAAAATGCGTCAAGATGAGCTCTCCGCCCGGCGACGACGGGAAAACACCTCAAAAAGAGGGAACGACACTGTTCAAAGTACTGGGCGCCAGTCCGGAGAGGCAGGCACCGCGAGAAGACACGGGGCCCCTCACGCACAGGCACACGCAGCCCCGAAGCACTTTCCGCAACTGAACCCCACGATAAACCAAAGGACAACAGGCCGAGGCCAGAGGGGTGACATCTCAAGAACGCGAGGTTGTTTTCACATCCAGAGATCAATGCGACTCCCCGCAGTGAAGAACTGAACGAGGAAACCCGTGTCATTGTGTCAATAGGTGCAGAGAATGCATCTGATGAAATTCAATATCCATTCATAAAAGAATAAAATAAAATAAAAAGCCTCGCCCTGGCCGGTTTGGCTCAGCGGTTGGAGCGTCGGCCTGCGGTCCAGAGAGACCCGGGTTCAAGTCCCACTAAGGGCAGGTACCTCGGCTGCAGTTTGTCCCCGGTCCCGGTTGGGGTCCTGGTTGGGGTCCCAGTTGGGGTCCCGGTTGGGGTCCTGGTTGGGAGGCAGCCACTCCATGTGTCCCTTTCACGTCGATGTTTCTCTCTGTGTCTCGCTCTCTTCCTCTCTCTCCCTCCCACTCTACCTGAACAAAAATGGAAAAAGTGTCCTTGGGTGAGGACAAACAAAATAAGAATAAATGAAAACAAAATACAAAGCCTCGCTCGCCATCAGGGCGGAGAAGGATGAAGGGCGTCCGATGAAAGCTGGCATGGAGCTCACTGGTGGGGCCGAGCGGTTTCCCTCTCGGGTCAGCGACAAGACGGGGTTCCGGCCAGCCAGGCAAGAAGAAACAATGAGAAGCATCTCCTTTGGAAGTAAAGAAGTAAAACTGCCGACAGACAAAGTAGAAAATCCTATGAAATCCACACACAAAAGGCTGCCAGCTCCATATACGAGGTTAGTCAGGGCACCAGCTACCACACCGATATGCAAACACCCCTTGTGTTTCTCTCCACCAGCCAGCCCTGACCACCCTGAGATCGAAATGAAGGCGCCATCAGCACGAGGAGGTAACCACCACGCCCATTGCTTGGAAGACTCCACAGTGCTAAGACGGCAGATCTCCCCAAATTACCCTACAGATTCAAGGCAATTCCAGTCAAAACCCAAAGAGGCTTTTTGGGGGGTAGAAACTGACGAACTGATGTTAAAAGGGGAATGCAAAGAACCTAGAATGGCCAAAACATCAAAAAGAAGAGACTACAGGAGCAAGTAGCCCTAACACGGCCTTATTTCAAGACGTATAAAGCTACCGGGACCAAGAGAATGTGTATGAACCTACAGAGAGATTCGTGGGCCCGGGTAAGAAGCAGAGAAACAGAGCCACCCGTACAACTGGTTTTCCAAAAACTGTGCAAAGGAATTCAATGAAGAAAGCATAGTCTTCTCAACAGATAATGTGGGAACTATTGAACATTTATAGAGACAAAAACCCCACAAAACTTCATTTGCACCTTATACCCTATAAAATGTGTTCGACGTGGATCATAGAGCCAAATGGAGAACGAGAACCCCGGAAGCTTCTCGATGAAGACACGGCAGAAACCCTTCGGGGTCAGCGTGTTACTTCTTAGCTCTGACGCTGAGAGCACGGCCCACAGAACCCCGAATCGGTAAGCGGGGCTTCGTGGACATGAAAAGCGTCCGCTGTGGCAAAGACACGCGGGAGAATGAGAAGTCCAGCCACGGACGTTTGCAAAACACGTGGCTGACGAGGGCGCACCCAGGACGCAGGAGTTCTCCAGACTCAAAGGCGAGTCGCTCGGTGGGACACTGGGCAGAACGTGGGAGCAGACACGGGCGGGAGCAGCTCCGTGGGTGGGAAATAAACCCGTGCCAAGATGCTCCGCATCCCTGGCCGTGAGGGCCGCGCACTGAACCACGGGGCGCCACACCGTCAGGACAGCTAGAGAGGCTGAGCGCTCCCAGTGTGAGGACGTGGGACCACTGCACCGCGGGGCCCGTGGAGCGTAAGGCGGCTCAGGCAATCGCTTTGCCGAGCAGTGTGGCAGGTTTTCTAAAAGCCCAGCGTGCCCCCGCCACCCCACCCGGCTGCCTCGCTCCTAGATGTTTGCCTGGTGGAACGAACACACGTGTCCACGCAAAGGCTTCTGCACAAGCAGCAACGCGGCCTTATTTATGACGGCCCCGCACCAGACACAAGCCAAGCGTCTGCTCATAGCTCAACAGATAAGCCAAGTGCAGTCCCCGGAGAAATCGGACCGGCGACAAAAAGCAGCAAACTGCTGATACACACGTCACGGAGGGATCCCCCAAGGGTCCCACCACCGAGTAAAAAGGCCACGGAGAATGAGTGTCCACCGTGCGGTCACATGTAGACTGAGTCTCAGGGAACGCAAACCCAGCTACTGGCACAGCCGGTGTTGAGGACAGGCTGGGGGCCGCGTGGGGGCGGGAGAGAGACCCTCAGAGGGGACGGCCGCGTTCACCGACGGCGCGTGTGCTGACACTCATCACACTGTACGTGTCAACCGCGGCCACTGTACTGGCCGTCAACCACCCTCGGGACAGCTGTCCAGAAAAAGTGCAGGTCAGGCGGGACAAATGGCTCCTCCGGGAGGGATGAGGAGGAGGGAAGTGTGCGTTCGGTGGATTTTTCTTTTCTTTCATTATTTGCGGGGGGAGGGGCGTGGGCTCCCACGGGGCCACTCACCCGAGGTCAGGCCGGAGGCGTACATGGAAAGGACGCCTTGGTTGGCTAAGTACAGGGCTGGCACGTTGAAGGTCTCAAACAGGATCTGTGGAGAAGCAGTGGGCAGGGCTGGAGCGGCCGGCAGGTGGGTGGCCTCACCTTCTCGCTGCCTGAGTCCTGTTTGCAGGAGGCACCTGGCTCCCCGCAGAGGTGCAGACGAGGGGCTCGGGGTGTGTGGGCTCTTCACCCCGGCTCTGCCCTGCCCAGCTCCGTGACACTGATTCCCAGTCTGTAAAATGGGCTCACACCCTTCCCAGGTACCCCACAGGATGTGGAGAGCATCGAGTCATCTTGTAAGCTGAATTCCCGATGGGGATGGAGCTGAATTCCTGACGGGGATGGAGCTGAATTCCTGATGGGGGTGGGGCTGAATCCCCCACGGGGGTGGGGCTGAATCCCCCCACGGGGATGGGGCTGAATCCCCCACGGGGGTGGGGCTGAATGTCCCACGGGGATGAGGCTGAATTCCCACAGGGATGGGGCTGAATCCCCGACGCCTCTGAGAAACCACCAGCTGCCCTCGGCAGTGGGCAGACTGCACAGAACCCAGCGCTGAGACTTGGCAGGGCTGATGGCTTCGCAGTAACGGAAACAACAAAGGCTAGCAGGCAGCCCTGGCTGGGTTGCTCAGTGGTTGGAGTGTCGTCCTGTACACCAAAACGTTGTAGGTTTGATTCCCAGTCAGGGCACACACCTAGGCTGCGGGTTCCATCCCTGGTCGAGGCGCACGTGGGAGGCAGCCCATCGATGTTTCTCTCTCACATCGATGTTCTCCTCTCTCTCCCTCTCTCTCCAAAATCAATAAAAACATATCCTCGGACCCTGGCCAGTTCGGCTCAGCACTTAGAGGGTCGGCCTGACCAAAGGGTCGCATGTTTGATCCTGGTCAACGGCAGGTACCTGGGTTGCAGGTTCGATCCCCAGCCCCAGCCAGGGCTGTGCGGGAGGCAACCCATCGATGTGTCTCTCTCACATCAACGCTTCTCTCTCCCTCCCTCCCATTCTATCTACAAATCAATGGAAAATTATCTTCAGGTGAGGATTAGCAACAACAAAAACATATTTTTGGGTGAAGATTAAAAAGCAAACAGTTGTGTGTTAACTATGCCTGCCCCCCAGTCCCGGCCTGGCGCGGTCAAGAGGGGTCCCCTGGGTGCTGCCTGTGGACGGGGCAGGAGCCACAGCTCCCCCGCCCATGGAGACTCCCCTCAGGCATGTGGCGTTGGACCCGCTGTCCACACGAGACCAGGGGACAGAGCTGGGAAGGGGCAGGTGGCCGAGGTGGGCTCACGGGCTGCTGGGCACGGCAGGGCTCTGGCTCAGGGAAGTTGGCTGGGTGGCGAGTGACTCCTGCGATGCGGTGACATTGAGGTGTGCAAGGTCAAAGGTTCTTCTGATGGCAGGACCCCACACTGCCCCTCGGAGTGGTCAGGTACAGCTCCAAACCGGAGACGCTGCCGGGCAGGGCCGTGGGGCTGCACCCGGGGCACGATGGGGACATCGGCTGTGTGGCCAGCGCCACGGTTTGTGTGAGGGTTAAGTTCCTGTGTCAACAGGACTGGACCGTGGGGGTGGGGCGCCAGGCATTTGCAGTCACTTTTCTGGGTGAGTCTCTGAGATGTTCCCGGACAAGTCACATTTAAGTGGATGTGGAGTAGAGCAGATTGCCCTCCCCGGAGTGGTGGGCCTTACCCAATCAGCTGAAGGTCTGAACAGCACAAAAAGCCCGACTCTCCCCCAGATAGGAGGAAATTCCTTCTGCCTGATGACCTTTGAGCTGGGACATTGGTTTCTCCTGCCTTTGGATTGGAATGTGCACCACTGGCTCTCTGGGGCTCCAGCCGGCTGACTCGCCCCGGGATGTGCCAACCTCCGTAACGGCGTGAGCCAATTCCTCATAGCACACCTCTTCCTGCGCAGGTATCTGCCGCTGCTCTGTTTCTCCGGAGGACTGACTAAGACAGTTTGGGGCAGCATGTTCCCTCAGGGTGAGGGACACCCTGCCTCTGTCCTCTGTCCAGCTCCCTGACACCCTGATAGGCACTGGTGCTCGGAAAGCAGGGACTTGCTGTGTCCAGCTGTGGGCTTCGTGCCCCGTCCACGGGCAGCCCTGCCGTGGCCCACTTCTGTGACCACCTGTCCACGTGTGCAGGAGGTTCCCTCGGCCCCTCGGGGTTTGGTTTGGATGAGGGGCAGCTCACACGTGTGCTGTGGTCAGTGATATCTTCTGGCCACAGCACGAGCCTCCTGTGTGTGCAGAGGGCGTGACCCTCAGGGTCACGGCTCACTGAGACAGACACGGCGGAGTGGGCCATGCGGTGACGCCTGCTGCGTGCTGAGCGAGCTCACCGATGTCCCCGTTAGGAGGAGCCTACGGATGTAACTGGGACGTGGGCAGCCAGCAGCCGCCCCCACCCCACCTGGACCCCGTCTGATGGGGGGACACCCTCCTTTCTTCTCCAGCCTACAGCCTCGCAGCCTCCACTGTCAGGTTCGATCCGGTCCAATCCAATCGGCACCTGCCATCAACTCCTTCCTCCCTCCCTCCCTCCCTCCCTCCCTCCCTCCCTCCCTCCCTCCCTCCTCCCCTCCCTCCCTCCCCGGGGGGCAGCCCTGGGAGGCTCCAAGGAGGGGCCCTGGGCTTTCAGCCAGGGCTGGACGTCCACAGGACACACCGCAGGACCAGGCTGGAACGGGACCTAGAGCCAGGCCACGGGGTCCAGGCGGGTTCGAGCGGTCAGCAGCCACTTGCCCTGTGACCTTGGCCAAATTTCTTATGCTCCCAAACCTCCCATTTCTTCTTCGGGGCAAAGGGGTGATGGTCGCCCTGCCCCAGAGAGAGGCTTCGGGGTGAAGTGAAACAGTCCGTCGTGAACCCGAGCCCCACGCGAGCGACCCACGAGCCGGCCGCGGTAGCCGCCACCTTGCCGAAGTGTCAAAGGGGACAGCGCTCGCCGGTGTCCATCTCGGCGAGCTAGGAGAGGCGGCGTCCCGCGGTGGGCCTGCCCCTCCCCCGCCAGCCGGCCGCCTACCTGACACACTCTCTCCTTGGTGGTCCGGCTGCAGGAGGGCGGCTCGGTGAGCATCAGAGGGTGCTGCTCCGGGGCCACGCAGAGCGCCTGGTAGAAGGCGTAGTGCCAGATCTGCGGAGGGGACACGGCGACGCCCACCAGCTCAGCACCCAGCCCACACGTGCCGCCGTCTACACCGCGAGCGGCTGCGGCAGCAGCGTCCGTGGTGTGAGTCGGCAGAGGCCGTGGAGACTCTGTCTGTGGATGTGACCCTGACAGGATGGGAGCACAGCCGTCGACGGGACCTCGTGGTCCCCTGGGGGCAGGTCCAGCCCCAAGACGACCGGCGAGACTGTGACTCAGCGAGGGGAGCAGGCACCTCGAGAGCACAAAGCTGAGACCCAGCAGAAGTCCCAACCACCCCGCCCAGCAGGTGCTGGACAAGTGACCGGACATCTGAGCTGTTTCCTCATCTGTACATGGAAAATGCCCCCACCCCGTGGACCAGGAGGACCAGGTAACATCATGTTGGTGGGAGATGCCCCACCCCGTGGACCAGGAGGACCAGGTAACAGGAGTCACGTTGGTGGAAACCTAGTGTATCCATGTCCTGTGTCCACACAGTGAAGTCCCACAGACCAGGTGGCTTAAGCCACAGACATTCCCTGTCTCCCGTCCTGCAGGTCCGGGCTGGGGGGCAGGGACCAAGAGGCAGAGCAGCGAGGAGCTCCGGGCGCGGCGGCAGGGCCCCCACCGGCCCCGCCCAGGGCTGCAGCCCACCTTCTCCATGTAATCCCAGTTGGTGATGGTGGCCCGGGAGACGGGGTACAACATGTTGAGCTTCTCTCGCTTCTTCTGCGTCTCCCGTCCGATGAACCAGTCCTCTACGGCCAGGCCCACCAGCGAGTCCTGAAAAAGGCGGAGACCGTCCACTCACGGGGGACTCACCTGCGCTCGGCCCGTGTGGCCCGTGAGCCATGACGGGGCGAGGCCGGCTGTCGGGACGGCTCTGGTCACAGGTGGCATCTGCACCCATCACACGCCGAACGCCATTCCCAGGGCCCCCGAGAGGTTTCGGCAAGAGACCCCAAGGGGCACGTGCTCCGGAGGGACTGCTGCTCAGACGACGCGCGTCTGGCCTACGTTAAATGAGGACACGGTGGGGGAGGTGGCCGCGGGGAAGGCGGTGGGCGAAGGAACGCTGTGGGGGGCAGGCACCGGCTCCCACCCCGGCTCCGGGGTGTTGGCAGCGCAGGATCTGCGGTTTCATTCATTTCTGCTATTTCGGGAAGATGAACCCAGCGACTTCCGGATCGAACCCTTCATTCCGTCACTCAGAGGGGATTTGCCAGGTGGTCCCTGTGTGAATCGGGGTCCCTGGCAGCAGACACCCAGAGGGGACTGCAGGTGCGAGAGGCAACGCAGAGGGCGCCGGCCATCTGGGGGACACGGCAGGCCGCTGTCCCTGTCTGAGCCTGGGTACGGGAGCGAGGGCTGGGAGGGGGTGGGGCTGGAACACCGGCAGTGGGAGGACGGCTGGGGAGGCCGCGGGGGCCTCCTCCGGCCACAGGCATGGTCACAGGGGCCCCGCGTCCCTGAGGGGTGTGCCTGGTCTCCCTGACATGCCCGTGCCTCGGAGCCGTCACGGCGCAATGCCACCACGGGCCGAGGGGCAGGCCCGCTCATGGGCACGGAGCTCTGATTCCTCAGGAACATGTCTTTGAGGCAGAGAGGTCTGGACGTGGGGTGAGATGAGCCCCGGGCAGCTGCTGGCCGTCTGGGAGTCTCTCTTGCTCTGGGCCTCATGGGACAGCGAGACACACCCCGTCGGGGGCCCAGGCAGGAGGGAAGGGCCAGTGGGCAGAGCCCTGCCGCTGCCCGCCCTCCCCTCCTGCTGTCTTTGGTCCCCCCCGCCCCCCAGGCTCAGTGCCAGGCACCACCAGGAACCAGCAGCCGCTGCTGATCTTAAAGGCACAGGACCCCTCCTCAGGGCCCACACCCCTCTTCCAAGCGAGAAGAACCTGGATGGGCAGCATGGCTTCGCTTGCTCAGCTGACCTGCCTCTAGCATGTCCTGGGGGGCCCCACCCGAGTCTGTGGTTCTGACAGCGTGGCCCCGCTCTGGGAGTCAGGTTGGAAACACGCCCTGACCTGCTGAAGCAGGAACTGGGGGCGGGCCGGCCCCTCTGCGTTTCCCGGCCAGCGCCCCGGGCCGGTGCTGGCGGCCTGGGCCCCGAGGCTCGGAGGGTTCCACCGGCCGCCCCTGGGAGCGGGTCGGGGCTGTGGGCCCGGCGGCCACCTCGGGCCGAGCAACACGCAGGGGAGGACAGTCACTCACTTTGTACCGGAACTTCCCGAGGACAGTCGGGAACACGTTGAGGGGTGCTTCCTCTCCCGAGAAGCCCACCTTGCTGAGGCCGGTGCCGAAGTCACAGACGACGGGCACGTTCATGGCGCTGGGTGACCTGGACGGGCAGCGGGGAGGACGGGGTCATGGCGCCGCTGGGGAGGCCGTCAACCCAGGACGGCTCTGCCAGGCGCAGCTCGGCTCCGAGCTCCCGGGGCTCCGGGTGCGTCTCCCCCAGGGCCACGCAGGCGGCTTCCCACACCCAGGGCTGGGCCCTGCCTGGGGCGACCCGCTGTCTGGATGCTGTGGGCAGTGTGCTGGGAAGGGGCTTTCGGGCGACCACTGACCCGGGGCGGTGCTGCAGACAGAGGCCCACAGGTGAGCTCCGGGCTGGTGCTCTCTCTGCGGCACAGGCCCCGCCGCTCGCTGCCCCGAGACTGCCCCACGGGGCTCATCTGAAGCAGCCCATTCCCGGTGCCCTGAGGCAGGGTGGGGAGGAGACCCCACAGGCCTGGTGGGCAGCCAGGGCCCCTTCTCCCTGCCCCGGGACCCGACGGGCCTCCAGACCCTCCCTCCACTTCCCTTCCAGACAGCGTCCCCAAGGCCACGCAGGGTTGGAAACCATGGCAAAGACATAAAGAAGAAAACCATGCCCTGGCCGGTGTGGCTCAGCGGTTGGAGCGTCGGCCTGCAGACCAACGAGTCCTGGGTTCGATTCCGGTTAAGGGCACGTACCTCATTGCGGTTCGTCCCTGCCCCGCCGGTCATGCGGGAGGCAACCAGTTGATGTGTCTCTCTCACATCGATGTTCCTCTCTCTCTCTCCCTTCCTCCGACACTATCTGAAGATAAATGTAAAAATATCCTCGGGTGAGGATTTAAAAAAAAAAGAAAAGAAAACCATTCACCCAAGGGTGCCCAGTTATATTTGATAGTTGATTTTGACTTATGTCTATGTATAATTTTTAAAATATGTTTTTATTATTTAGAGAGGGAGGAAGGAGAGAGAGGGAAACATTGATGAGAGAGATACATCCACTGGCTGCCTCCTGCACGCCCCCTACTGGGGATCGAGCCCGCAAACCCAGGCATGTGCCCTGACCGGGAATCGAACCGGGACCTCTCAGTCCATGGATGACGCTCCTTCCACCGAGCCACACCGGCTAGGCTATGTATCATTTTTTTTTCTTTAAGTAATTATGCTCAAAAAAGGAACCCATTTTCTCTTGAATGTTGCACTTAACTAAACCGTCACCATGGCCCATGTTTTCTTTAGAAGAAACGTTTATTCTTTTTCAGATAAAGATCCCAAGTTCGTTACAGAAAACAGAGGACACCTGAGGAAACATGAGCCGTGCCCAGACCCTGCTGGTACCAGGTGGCGTCTGTGAATGTGGCGCTCACCCTCCAGTCCTTCCGGCAACGTGGCCGATTCCCCGTGGCACCTGTGAGCAGCGTGGGCGTACCGCTCAGGTTTCCTGTGCACACGTTACACAGAAACCATCACATGTAAGGTCGCCTTAGCCTTTCTTCTGTGCACTGAAACACCCCGTGTCCCCGTCACGTGAAACCCTTCCTGGCACCAGGCCCGCCGACCATCTGAGGCTCCTTTCACCCCCACCCCCGTGTGGACGCTCAGAGCCGGTCGTTGTGGGGTTTGTATACCCCGAGAGGGCCCTCCTCACCCATCACTCTTCGTCTGACGTCTGGGTTAGCTCTTCGTCATCCACGTCCTTAGAACAACTAGTTGGGACACCAAGAATTTTTTAAGGGGCTATAAATGTTGCTGAACGAATGTCCAGAAGCATCGGTAGGTCTCCAGCTGCCACATCCGGACACACTTCCCATGATGCTGCGTACCATCCACATGTATGGTGTCCCCGGCGGGCCACCGGCTTCTCCCGGGACCCTGTGCCCCCTGGACGCTTGGCTAATGTGTGTTGAATGGCTGTGGGGCCTACCCTTTGGGGGTCACATCACAATCCCTGCTTCGGAATTTTGGGGGTGTCCTGTCTGTGTGTATGCCGCTCTGCATGAAACTTCTCGAAGGCCGGACCTCGGGAGCCTCCCCATCTCCATCACGGGGCGTGGGGGCTGGGGTGCTACAATGGAGTCAGACACCTGGGCCATCACAGGTCGTGGGGGCTGGGGGTGCACTTGCCCCCTGTTCCGCCCAGGTGAGATCAGTGTGGCAGCGTCACCATCACCATCACAGCTACAACAACACATCCCTCGGTGACAGGTTGGCCCGTGGCCGACCCCAGTGCGGCCCTGGGAGGGAGAGCCCACCGCCAGCCATGCTCCGAGTGTTCAGAGCGCGACCCGAATCCACTCTGGACTTGTCCAGGGGTTTTCATTCTCCCTTCGGTTCAACAGTTGGGGCTCAGAGCGACAGAAACGCGGCATGTCCTTTGGTTTGGTCGGTCCTCCGACACTGGCTTCCATCTCTGTGTCTTTGTTAGGAGGAGACGACCGAGGCCCAGTGACCCGTGCACCCCTGCACCCCTGTGCCGCCCGCCTCCACCGGGGCCTCCGAGTGCGGAGCGGGGCGGCCCTTCGCCCCACGGGACGCCACACTGGGCGCGGGGCGCTCTTTGCTCTCCTCCCAACCCTCACGGATCGGAGACACATGTGCGAGGCTGACTACTCGGTATCAACGCAGAGAAACAATCTAAGGAAAGGGGTGGGGGACACTGGAAATGTTCAGCTGGGTAAGAGGAGGGACTTGATCCCCACAACCAACCTGCCAAGGGAAAGCCAAGGCTGAGCTGCCCCCAGATTTCAGGAACTGTCCTGAGCACATATCTGGTGCCCGTGAGAAGCGGGACAAAGCCAACGTGGCGCCCGCCGGGAGCCCGGGTGCGGCCCTCCAGCCTGGCCGAGGTGCGCAGTGTCCTGACCCAGGCACAGCCCTCGCGGCCTTTGCATCTCCCTACCCGCCTGGGACTTGGAGGAGGAGGCCTGAGGCCCCGGCCCCCAGACGCCATACGACCCACGTTGCAGCTGAAGTGACCCCATCCGATGCCACACCCCAACACCCAGACCCGTGCACCTGAGACCGTGCGTGGCAACAGGGACCGGGCAGACGAGATGCCCGTAAGGAGAGAGGCCGAGGGCTCGAGCCAGAGGGGGACTTGGAGACGTGACCCTCCTGGCTTTGCTGGTGGACAAGGGGCCACAGCCACGGACATGGGCACCTCTCAAAGCTGGAGAAGCAAGGAATGGACCCCCTGCAGCCCCCAGAGGGCTGATGGCTGGGCCCACAGGCCATGCGGCCCGGAAAAACCCAGGGCAGACGTTTGGCCTCCAAGTACAACCCCATTGTCTGAAGTCACTACGTTGTGGTAACTGGTGACAGCCACCCTGACCCTCGGTCGAGAGGCGGGGTGGGGGCGAAGCCGCGGTCTAGGGTGACGCTGCGCCCAGGAGCCATCGCTGGCCGGGGAAGGGTCTTCCCACGGATCTCACTTCCCACCGGTGGGTTCATTTAAAACACACTTGTGGCCCGGCCAGTGAGGCTCCGTGGCTGAGCGTCGACCCTGCACCAGGAGGTCGCCAGTTCGGTTCCCGGGCAGGGCACATGCCCGGGTCGTGGGCCCGATCCCCAGCGGGGGGCGTGCAGGAGGCGGCCAGTCGATGTTCTCGCTCATCGATGTTTCTCTCCCTCCCTCCCTCCCTCTCCTCTCTCTAATGTCAAGAAAGAAAGAAAAAACTGTTTTTTTAAAAACACGCTGGCCGACCTACTGTGCGAGGCCGTTGTTTCTGGCCTGGAGCGGTTCCCGCCGTCTTCGCTCCGGGCGGGCCCAGGCGTCTCCGTGTGGACAGCGGCCCCCACCCAGAACCGCTTCTCGCTCACTTTTTCTGGCTGGCTCCTGATGCCGCGCCCACCATCCGACCAGAGGTTGGTCGTGTGGGCACAGAGCCCCCCCCCCCCGCGTTGGACGCAGTTCGCCTGGGCCCTGTCACCTGGCGACCTGGAGGCCGGGCTCACCCTTCCGGCTGCACCGATGCCCGGAGGAGGCCAGGGAAGGACATCCTGGCACAGCCTGGGTCAGGTCCGCGAAACTCCACGGAGGCCCCGCACCTTGCTGACTGTGCCACCGGCAAGAAACACAAGTGTCTGTGACATCTGAGCTTCGGAGGAAGTTCCCACCTACTCCCGGCGGCACAGACAGCGGAGGTGGGGCTGCCCGCCGAGGGGAACCTCAGTTCAAGGGTGGACTCCCCACCTGCGCTCCTGCACGGAAACCGGGTCACCTTCCGAGTGTCCTGCCAGGAGCCCCTGACTCGGGGACCCGGGAGCCCACCTGTGCACGAACACCCCCAGAAATGATGAGATTACAGGTGCTTTTAGAATCGGACGAGGCCACGGAAGGGACGCGGTTGGATGCACACCCAGAGAGATGTTTTCCAGTGGCTGGAGGAGACAGGCGAGAGAAGCGGAGAGAGGGACCGGCGCTGACGTCGACGCAGAGGAGCCGCAGGGCACCCCGCCCTGAGGCTGCACCCCGCCCGGCCCCCTGCTCACCCGGAACTCCCGGGAGGACACCCCGATTGTCAGCGGGCTCGCCGATGACTCAGCAATTGCTGGTCCTGCTCAGTGACATCTTCTCTTCCTAGTAAAGAAAAATGTTAGGAAGATTCTGAGTTTCATTCAACAGTCGGAGCATCTGGACCAAAGCGGAGCTGCTGAAGAACCGGGAGAGCGCGGCCCCTCGCTGCCCCCCGAGCACCTGCCTACCAGGGAGCAGACCTGCAGCCCCGCAGAGCACAGGGCCGGGGCACCTCCATGGGAGTCGCAGCCCCTCTGCAGGCTGACCCGGACGCTGGGTGTGGGTGGCCTTTCCTGGGGGGCGGGCCCCCACACAACAATCGCACTGTGCTGCAACAGCGGTGACCTCAGCGGCTGTCACCCGCCTGAAGTGACCCCGGCCGGCCACCTCTTAGTGTCCATTTGCCTTCCCACTTTTTCTGTACACGCTCTGGGGTTGTGTCCTGCACAGGACAGCAGGGACTCCAGCCCCAGCCCGACCTCCCGGGGGCTTCCGCCAGGGATGGCGAGTTGGAGGGAGATGGAGCCAGTGGGCAGGGGGGTGGCCCCGGTGTCCTGTCCTCACAAGGCAGAGACAGCAGAGGTGGCAGTCACCGCTGTGGGTGGGACATGCCAACACCTGGATGGAAAGCAGGGTGCTTGCCAGGTGCGGAAGGGAGGGGGTGGTTCCCGGGGACGCCAACGCACCCACCAGGCGGGTGGGGCTGCGCGATAGTCAGTGGCAGTGAACTTGGGCGCCACGGCGCTGCCTCTGCCCTTCGGGGCTCCACACGGGGGCCACGACGGTCAGCTTCCCAGCCTCCCTTCCGCATGTCCGTATGTCCATGAGCCTGGGACGCGTTGCTAACACCATCTCCGTGAGCGCTTCAATGCCCCCTGGACGCTGACTGTCATCACGGGGCCCCCACTGGAGACACCCTCTGTCCTCCTTGGCTGCTCTCAGTGCCAAGGGCTTGGAAAGCGGGGACCCGGGGCTGGTGGAAGTGGGGGGGGGTCACAGGTCGCCCTCCGGCATGCGCCTCCGGAGCCGGGCACAGGCTGCAAACCCTGCCTCGCTGTGACCTGGAGAAAATGACCTGGAACTGGGGGTTCCGGTCCTCCGTGTGCAGCGGGGGGGACAGCGGTGTCTCCGGGCCGGCTGAGCAGTGAGTCACAGCACAGGCAGGACCGGGAAAGGCACCTGGCCCGCGGTCACTGCTCAATAAACGGCTGCCATGTAGTGTGTGGGCTCCGTGGCTCCCTTTCACCATCTGCTCCCGGACGCTCTGTGCCACCGTCACCCAGGGGTCCCTGAAGAAAGCTGGGACGGCCGCTGCCCCCTGACCGGGCTTTTCCCCAGGGGATCCTCCCCGGACAGCTGGGCGTCCACACCTGCGGGTCACTCCCTGCCACCTGGTCCTCGTGGGTCCGTCTGGAGGAGGTGTCTGGCTTCCGCCTTCTTCATAACAGACACACTAAGCACACACAATACAGTGCATACGTGTTCGGCGCACAGTGGGTGGCTTGCTCCGCTGCATGCACGGTGTAGCAGGATCACGACGCGTTCCCGTCCCCGGAGGGTGTGCCGGACCCGGAGGGAGCACCCTCTGCCCTGTCCTGTCCTTGACATTGTGTCCGTGGAGGCCCGCGGGGTGTGCCCGGGCGGCCGCCTCCCCGCACGTCCTGCGTGTGCCGGTTTCTCTCCGCTGCTCTGTAGTCCTCCGGCTCCGGCCGAAAGGCCTGGGGCTGCCCCTACGTACGTGCAAATGCTTTGCTCTTCGAATGACGCCACTGGGCCTGTGGTGCCCGGGTTTTGAGCACCTGCCCTGGGAATGGGGCCAGGAGCGGACAGCTGGTTCCTAAGGCTTTAAGAGGTGCTGCCTAACACAGTCCCCGGGGGGCTGGGCCCATCTGCACCCCGTCACAGCGGGACAGCGTCCCCGTGGCTCCCCCTGGGCAGACAGACAGCCCATTCCGACTGCGCCGTTCTGGGGGAGGCGTCGTGGCTTGGGGGGTTCTCATTTGCATGTTCCTGATGATGGAAGATGCTGGGCGTGTCTTCATGTTCGCTGGTGACTTGGCTCAAGTGTCTCATTTCTGAAAATTCACTAGTAGGTCCTTTGCTTCCTGATGGGAGTCTCCATAGATTCCATGCACGGGGTCCCCCTGGTGGCCGGGAGCATCATTGCAGCCCTTCCACCGAGCCCTGGGGGGCTCTGGGTTTGTGGATGAAAAGTTGTTCTTAGTCTCCCCGGAATCCAGTTTCTTTCTCTCCGGGGCTGGTGCTTCCAGCGTCCTGCTCAAGAAACCTGCGCCTAACCAAGGCCAGTCTCGTTCTTTAAGGGTTTTCTTGGCTTCCTGTTAGTTTAGGTGAGGGATCCATCTCAATTTTTTTTTTTTATGTGATGTGACTTGGAGTCGAGATTTATTTTTCTCCTATGGGTATCCACGGGACTCAAAAGTCTGCATTTATTCTATTTTAATGTAAGTGTTTTGTATTTAGTGTTTATTTAAAATATGTTCTTATTGATTGTTTTAGAGAGAGATGGAAACATCGATGTGAGACACATCCATCGGCCGCCTCCTGCACACCCCCTATTGGGGATCGAGCCCACTACCCGGGCATGTGCCCTGACCAGGAATCGAACAGGGACCGCTCAGTCCCTGGGATGATGCTCAGTCCACTGAGCCACACAGGCCGGGATAGATTTTTTTTTTTTTAAACAGCTGTTTATTTTATTTTATTTTTATTTATTTTTTAATCCTCACCTGAGGACATTTTTGCATTTTTTGTTCAGACAGAGCAGGAGGGAGAGAGAGGAAGAGAGAGAGAGAGAAACATTGATGTGAAGGGACACATCGAGTGGCTGCCACCCGCACAACCGACCAGGGCCGGGGACAAACTGCAACCGAGGTATGTGCCCTTAACGGGAACCGAACCCGGGTCTCTCTGTACCGCAGGCCGACGCTCTAACCGCTGAGCCAAACCGGCCAGGGCTAGGTTTTTTTTTAATTGAAAAGCCCTCTTTCTGGTTAAGTAGCAGGCCCATCACCCAGCCCAGCCTGCCACGCGCCGACACGGAATGTCCCTCTTACTGGTTCTCCAGTTCCTCAGAAACATCTGGTCGTGTCCAGGGCACGACACTTATGCTTTGTTAGCTTTTATTCTAAGTGTTTCTTGGTTCTGGATGCTTTAGTAAATGGTTCAAAAACAACTCTTCAGCCCTGGCTGGTTTGGCTCAGCGGTTAGAGCATCGGCCTGCGGTCTGGAGAGACCCGGGTTCGGTTCTGGCTAAGGGTACCTCGGTTGCAGTTTGTCCCTGGCTCTGGATGGGTCTTGTAGGTGGCAACCACTCGATGTGTCCCTTTCACGTCGATGTTTCTCTCTCTCTTCCTCTCTCTCTCCCTCCCATTCTATCTGAACAAAAAATGAAAAAATGTCCCCGGGTGAGAATAAAAAAAACAACAACTCTTCATTCTCCAATTAATTTTTTGTGTGCGAGGATACGAATAAAACAGACCCGGTACCCTCTGGCCTTGCAAAATCTACCTCATCGTTCTACCGGCTGTTTTATAGATGCCTTTGGATTTTCCTCACACCCTGTGGTGCCGGGGCTCCCGAAGGCCAGCCCTGGGCTCGATGACATCCTGGGAGGACTCGGGGGACAGCACACCGCAGAGAGGACAGCTCAAACTCGGCCAGTGGAGCAGGTGCCCGGGGCGAGCTTCTGGGGCCCCGTCCAGCAGTCTCCTGACAGCACGGAGCAGGCGGGCACCCAGGGGTGCCCATCAGGACTCAGTGTCCAGCCCGGCCGTGTGGCTCAGTGGCTGAGCGTCGACCCTGCACCAAGAGGTCACCGGTTCGATTCCCGGTCAGGGCACACGCCCAGGTTGTGGGCCCAGTCCCTAGTGGGGAGGCGTGCAGGAGGCGGCCAATCGATGTTCTCTCTCATCAGTGTTTCTATCTCTCTCTCCCTCTCCCTTCCTCTCTCTCTAAAATCAATAAAGGGGAAAAAAATGAAAGAAAAAAAAAAAAAAGACAGTGTCCAGGGCTTTATGGAAGGCTGGTCAGAATTCCAGGCTGCGGAAAGAAAGCGGGTCAGCGAAACCCACGTCATTTGTACAAACCACGCAGCCGCAGCCACGCGCACCAGTTACACGATGCGGGGACCCCGCCCAAATCCCAGTCCCCGGAGGGGCCTCTCCAAAGGGGCGGGCCGATGGCTGTGCGGGCTCTTTCCGGCGCGGCAATCTCGTGAGTTGACTGGTTTGCTTAATTTTTTCCAATCTATGTCTTTGTTCAATTTCCTCGCCTTCTTTGGATCTCCTAAGCCCTCCGGCAGAATGGTAAGTGGAGGTGGCCGAGGCCATCCTTGTCTTGTCCTTCAGCTGCAGGGAGAGAAGAGCCTCACTGTCACGTGGGCCGTGGCCGCGGCTCTCGCGTGGGTATCGCATCAGGGGAGACCGTGCTGTTGGTCCCACTTGGCCGGGTTTGATCACGAACAAGTCTCCTGCCCAGTGTTACCTCCTTCCCTGGGCACGTGGCTCTGTTCTGCTACCTGATGAGCTGGGTTGCTGGTTAGTGGACGTTACACAGTTGTAGTCCCAGAAGCCCCACCTTCCCTGGGCACCTGGTTCTCTGTTCTGCTACCTGATGAGCTGGGTTGCTGGTTAGTGGACGTTACACAGTTGCAGTCCCAGAAGCCCCGCCTTCCCGGAAGCAGAGATGTTGGAAACATTGCAGGTTCGATTTGCAAATAGGATACTGAGGATATTTTGTATCAGATACTGGAGTGTAACTTGGTGCTTTTTTTGTTTTTAAAGGTAAAACTATTATTTTTATTATTTATTTCTTTCCTTTATTGACTTTAGAGAGAGAGGAAGGGAGAGGGAGAGATGAAAACATCGATGAGAGAGAACATCAATTGGCCGCCTCCTGCACGCCCCCCACTGGGGATCGGGCCCACAGCCTGGGCATGTGCCCTGACGGGGAATCGAACCAGCAACCTCTTGGTGCATGGGTCGACGCTCAATCAGTTTTTTATCCTCACCCTAGGATATGTTTTTGATTTTAGAGAGGAAGAGACACTGATAGGAGAAACATTAATCGAAACGTCCCCCACCAGGGATCAAAGCCACAATCTTTCGGGGCACAGGACGACATTCCACCAGCTGAGCCGCTCCGGCTGGGCTGTCGGAACACTTCCGAATGGAGAATTCCATTTCTTTAACAGAGAGAGGTTTTCAGTGTCTTCAGTCCATTCTGGCAAATGATGTTTCTCAAAACTGACGGCTCCTGTCTCATCTAAGTGACCAGAATTCCTGGCGGTGGGCGGGGCCCCTGATGCTCCCCAGCTTCCCTGGCCTCCGGACCCCATCCTTGCTCCTGTGCGGTGTCTGAAAGCTGTGTCGCAGATGCACGGTGATCAGCTACTTCAGCTCCATCAGAACTCGTCTCTCCTTTTCCTTCCCTCACCTCTCGAGACTCCAGGAGAGGTGGGCCCTCTGGAAGCAAGAGGCTGCTTGGGGTGGCCTCCCCGGGGTGCAGGGTTCGAAGCAAACAGCCTCACCACCTGCAGGGGCAGGGTGGCGATAACATTTCTCATGACTCATCCTGCAGATGATGGGACAGGGAGGTGGCTGTCCCTGCGCCGTGCGCGGCCTCTCTCCTGCCCACAGAGCCCGACTAAGTGTCAAGGCTGTGCTCAGGCCCGACCCCTGCAGCTCTCGGGCAGTGCCACGTACCCACGGGGCAGCTTGGGAGTGCCAGGTGACTCGTTCAAAGCCGCAGCCAGGACTGGAGGGCCCCGGGGAGCCTTCCACGCTCGCCTGGCTTGTCCCAGGCAGGCCTGGGAAAGCCCGTTTTTGAGAGCCTGCGTCCCTCCCACGAGAGGCCTGGAAGCCACGGCCCTGGACCGTGAGCAGGGAGCTCCCTGGCAGAGACAGCCTGTCCGTGTCCACACCGCCAGGGGCTGAGGCAACAGAGCCCTTCTCCCGAGGAGCACAGCTCCCGCCGCCCGGCCCCACAGAGCCCTCCCATTTCCGCCCTGGCCCCCCAGCCGTGCCCCTGGGGAGGACGCACAAGGCCAGGCCGCCTTCCTGGAGGTCCAGGGCCGAGGCCTCACCGAGAACTTAATGTACCTTCCAACCTCGCTGTGCACAAGGGTGCATCTGGGGCACCTGCCCGAGCCCGGGGGCGGAGGGCGAGGGAGGTGCAGGCCAGCCAGGCCATCTCTCCTGGACGCACAGGGACCTTGGCCAGCTGAGGCCGGCCGAGGTGGGACCCAGACTTCCCCTGCGCAACCAGGCCGAGAAGCCCGGCAGCGAGGCAGGAAACGAACTACCCTTAGTTTTCAAACGAGGACGCAGAGGTGAGCCCTCTGCCCAAGGTCACACAGCTGTCGGTCAGGGAAGCCAGGACCTGAGCTCACAACCAGCAGCCCCCCTAAAGTGAAACTGCTCAACATCTGAGGAAAAGACGGGGTCCATGTCACAGGGCCGCTCAGGGCAGAGGTTCCCCGTCCGGCTGGTAGCGAATCACTCGTACGGCTCGTGACGAACAGCGGCCCGAGACGCACGGGCCCACGGGCTGGGCGGGCCGGGGTGCAGCCGTGGGAGACAGGCTGTCTCTGCCTGACCCCTGCGGGCTTTCTGTCCCCGCCCCTCCTCGGCTTCCCAGGTGACGCAGGCCTGGCACCCCTTCCTGGCGTCCCCCTCCACCTGCCTGGGGCACAGGTGGCCGAGCTGGGGTTCCCTCCTGTGGCCGGTGCAGCAGGCTCCCATGCCCACAGGGGGCCGCCTCCCCAAACCCCAGTGGACACCTGAAGCTTCGAGGCAGCACCCAAACATCTGACCCAACGTTCCCCGGGCAGGATCGCTATGCACGGAAGCCGAGCCCGAGCAGACAGAAGCCACACGAAGTTTAAACTGGGGAGTTTAATGTAGAGAATTTCCATCGACTGGGCAGTGACGGCAACACAGGGTTTCAAGGACACCCCGGGGTCGAGGGAGTGCGCCCCAGGTAAGAGAACACTGGAAGGAAGCCCTCCCCGGGCCGGGGCGCACACCTCGCGAAGGCACAGGGAGGACCCGCAGGCGGACACGCTCGCCGGTTGCCCGGGCCGGTCTGCGCAGTCGCCGGGCGAGCGGGAACGGCCCTCCCGGGGGGCAGGCTGGCAGGTGTGCCGGAGGGAGTCGGGCACTGGGAGCCTCGGCCGGGGCTGGGCAGCGTGCCCTGGCAGACCTGAGCCACAGGAAACAAAAGGATGTCCCCGGGCCCAGAGGAGCCCCCTCCTCACCCCCGTGGTCTCCACGGACACGTCCAGCATCCTGTCCGCTGGTCGCGATGCGGACAGGAGCCAAGAGCAGATTACAGGCTCCTCTGGGGCTGAGCACCGGCAACCTGCTCACGGGCCTTCGCTCCACCCCAGTCAGCAGAGGGGGTTCAGTCCGGACCCCGGGGCTGGAAGGCGCCCCACCCGGGGCCACACACCCACACACCACGGGCCAACAGAGGTGCGGCCGGCCCCTGGCCTCGGGGCAAGCGAGAGAAAGACAGACGGGTCGTCTGCGCTGGTGAGGAGGCAGCCGCAGCCCCAAGCGCCCTCGGGCCGCGGGGAAGGGACACGGGCTGACACCGACCGGACGCCAGCCACCTGGCTGACACCGACCAGACGCCAGCCACCTGCCCGGCGCCCTCCAGTTTGCAGGTGAAGCAGCAGAGGCCTCTGGGAGGCCAGCCCACGGCCCGCCCAGCGCGCCTGCGGGCCCGGCGGCGGGCACGGGCCTCCTAGAAGATCCCGGGCAGCAGGCGGTAAGGCACGGCGGCGGTGTAGCGCGCCCATTCGCTGCCGTACTTGTTGGCACAGCGGTGCTCGTCTCGAAGGCAGCGGTGGGTCAGCAGGATGGTCATGTAGACCACGTAGAAGTAGGGCAGGAGGTGGCCGCCGCCGCAGGCCAGGCAGTAGGCCAGGCTGCCCATCAGGTCGCCCGTGTAGTTGAGGTGGCGGGCCAGGCCCCAGAAGCCGGACACCAGCAGCTTGCTGTGGTGTCTCTGGCCGTCGGCCGACACGTACGAGCACTCGATGAACTCGGGCTTGCGGCCCCAGATCAGGCAGCGGCCATCGGTGCGGCGGAACAGGTCCTTCTGGTGGTTGGCCATGCGGAAGATGTAGTAGCCCAGCAGGCCCAGCAGCAGCACGCCGAGGGCGTGAGGGGTGGACAGGTGCACGGGGTGGTAGACCAGGTACAGGCCCTGCAGGGCGGAAGGCGGGGTCAGCGTGGCCTCGGCCAGAGGGGCCCTGGCTCTGTCCCTGACCACCTGCCCCTCTGCGTCATGCCTGGGCCTCCTTCTCTGCAAATCAAGCAGCTGCCCCGGGGAGTTCTTGTTGGACCGACGAAGAAACACACACACACACCTGTGTATCTACCTACCTATCCATCTGTGCGCAGACACCCCCCCCACACACACACAAGCCCGTATTTATAACACAGGTGCAGGCTACATACCATAAGAGCACGTCTGCATACAACACTGATGGTTACTTTTAGGTCCCTGGCTAGGCCACTGGAGCCCAGGTTGGGTCAAACAGTAGTCTCTTTGGGAAAGTGACCTTTAGACACGACTGACGCTTCCAATCAGCGACTTGGACAGAAGCAGACTCCCTCCGTACCCTGGGTGGGCCTCATCCAACCAGCGGAGGCCTTCGGGGAAAATGGCCGACCTCCTGGGACCAAGGGTCAGTCCCACTAGCAGACACCCTGGCCCTCAGACCCAGCTGCAAGTTCAGCTCCGCCCTGGATCTGCAGCTGGGCGGCTGCCCGGAGACAGTGGGCTTCTCAGCCCATAGGCGGGCACACACATGCACAGTGCACATAATACACACACACACTCTATGACGATTATTTTGCATGCCTGGAAAAGGGACTTCAGCCCAGCCGGTGTGGCTCCGTGGACTGAGAGGTCCCGGTTCGATTCCCAGTCAGGGGACATTCCTAGGTTGCAGGCTCGATCCCCAGTAGGGGGCGTGCAGGAGGCAGCCGATGGACGTTTCTTTCTCATTGATGTTTCTCTCCCTTCCTCTTTCTCTAACAAATCGATAAACACATATAAAAAAAGAAAGAAAAGGGGGTTCACAGAATCAGGGGACTAGTGAGCCAGCAACCAGCCTGGGGGAAAAACGGGTGCAGGGGACCCGCCCAGGCACCGGAGCCTGGACGCCCGGCCGGGCCCCTTTCCCCTCCTCTGCCCGCTCTCCACAGCTTCCCTGCTCCCCAGAGTCCTGGCCTCGTGAGGCTGACGGGGGCCACCACCGGCAGGCTGCGATTAGACCCTCCGAACGCCCGGCTGCGTGCACCCCACATGGCCCCATCTGTCCATGCAAGCTGTTCCCCGACTTGCACAGCTGACGAAGACAGGCCCCCAGCTCACGCCGACTGGGCAGCTGCGTTAAAATAATCTCGCTCCTTGGGCCCGGGCCTCCTCCCTCAATGATACCGGCCGGCGGCAGGGGGCCAGGCCTCAGCGCCGCCACCTCACATGGGGCCAGCTGGCCACACCGTGAGAGCGGGCTGCTCTCTTGCACACGGGAGGGGCGCGGGGCCCATGACGAGGCCTCAGACGCCCAGGGCAGCTCTGCATGGGGCAGGGCAGGAAGGAGGAGCCGCCCACCTGCCCACCGCCTGGCCTCCTGAGTCCCGGGCGGAGGGGCACCCACCTCCTCCAGTCCTGCCCGCTCTGCCCTCCGCCCCTTGCCCGCCTCCTGCACACGACCCTGGACCTGCTCAGCGGCTCTCCCTGCACCAGCCCCGGCGCTGCTGGGCGCCCTCCAAGCCCCCGTCCGAGCCCCTCCGCTCCCACACGGCCCCCTCACACCCCGGGACTCTGCACGCGCTCCTCCACCTTTCGGAAGGTTCTCAGCCCCCGTGCCGCCCCCCAAGCCAGTGGACGCCCCCTCTGCAGGGTCCGCGCCCTCCCACCAGCGCTGAGCCCCAGGGACGGCCCCTCCCCCTGCGCCCAGCTCGGAACAAAGGGAAGACAGGCGCCCTCTGACCTTGGGGTGTGGAGAGTCAAATGAGAAAGAATATGAAAACCCCCTCCCTGCCCCCATCCTCCCAAATCACTCGTTTTCACCCAAAGTCCACTGAGATCGTCTCTCAGTGTTGTGGCCGAGCTGTGCCCCGGAATTGCTATGTCGGAGCCCTAGCCCCCGCGACCGAGGACGGGACCGTATTTGGAGACGGGGCCTTTACCCAGGGGACAGAGGTAAACTGAGGTCACGGGGCCTCGCCAGTGTGACTGGGGTCCTCGTGAGAAGAGGGCAGCACACAGACACACAGAGGGTCCTGGGGACAGAAGACGGCCGTGTGCACGCCGAGGACAGAGGCCTGGGAGGGACCAGCCCTCCGAGCCCTGCATCTCGGACCTCTAGGCTCCGGAACCGGGACAGTAGGTGCTGTGGGCCTCTGGCCCGCGCTGACTCCTCCACGAACCCCTCCCTCCTCCTGGGAACGGGGCAGCCTGTTCTCCAGCCCCTGCGCCCCGGGACACACACGGCAGCCCGCCGGGTCCGCGTGCAGCCTGTCCGCGCCTCACCTGCAGCGTGTAGAGGTACGGCAGCCACACGCAGTCGCCCCAGCCCAGGTACCACCCGAAGTGGTCGTGGCAGATGTCTATGGTTTTCAGGTACCAGGTCTCGTTCCAGAAGAAGTCCAGCACGTAGATGGCCTGGAGACAGGAGCGTGTACCAGACGCAGGCAGCGGCGGGAGGGCCCCGGAAGCCCACACTCCCAGAGGGGGCACCGCGTGTCACTCGACTCCTTTGGTGACACGTGCCACCGGGCACTTTCTGAAGCGCCCACTTGCCCGGGACAGGGGGGCTGGGGGTGGGCAGGGAGTCCTTTTCCTGGGAGAGTCTGTGGTCTGAGGACAAGGGGCGCCCACAAATGATGACAGAAAGAAGGGCACCCCACCATGTTCCAGGTGACACCTGGGGCCGTGGGGCGTCCCACGGAGCAGGGGGCAGGGAATGCCACGGCGCGAGGCCACTGCCCACGGGGAGAGCCCAGCGTTCCCCGCCAGCTGCCCTTGCAGACCCGTGACACACAGAATGCGGCCACACGGCTGGGGGACCATTGTGACGTGCTTGAGCCTGGGGACGTCCCAGGGCAGCACGGCGCTCGGCACTCAAGGTCCCCCCGTGTGCGCCAGCCCTTCCTGACGCCCAGCTCTCGGGTTCCCCGCGGCCAGCAGGCGCCGGCTCCCCGCCACGGCCACGCAGAAGGGTGGGCCAGGCCTTCCCCCGCCACGGCCACGCGGGTACCTGCAGCATGTTGACCAGAACCATGGCGTTGGTCACGTGGCCGTGGAGCTCCCGCTGCTTCGCGGCAAAGGACAGGTTGATGAGGGTCCAGGCCACGATCCCGGGGCGCCCGTTGAAGAAGAGCTTGAAGTCGAACCACCTCCCGATGCGGGGGTTGAACTCGATGCCCATCATGTAGTTGTAAAAGAAATTGCCCGTGAATTTGCTAAAAAACATGAAGAAAAGACACCGTTCGTCGAGGGGCGCGTGGCACACCCCGTGGCCAGTTTCAGGGGCCCGGGCACAGGTGCTCAGCGCGGCCTCGGTGCTGGGGGGGCCGGGCGGCCTGGGCGCGGGCTGGCGCGGGCTGCGGAGAACGGGCGTCAGAGCTGGGGCGCCTCGCCGCGTGCCCACAACCGCAGGCCCTCGCCCGCCGCAGCCAGCCCGGCCCACGGGGCAGCCGAAGACACTCCCTCCGGGGCGGGGAGGGCAAGATGGCTCGGACGGACCACAACTTCCTTCTGCAGCCAAGCACGAGTCTGAAGTGGTCCTGAAGGGCAGCCAGGCCTCCCCCGGGCAAGTGACGTGACCAATCATGCCAAGCTCAGGAGTGAAGAAAGCACCCTCCTCAAGCCCACATCTTCCTCGCGAGACTAGTTTCTGAACCGCCGGTTCCCTGACCCCACAGCCCTCCCCAGGGCTGACCAGTGACTCAGCCGTGCTCACCAGGTGGAGACCCTGTGCGGTTTGCCTTGCTGCGTACACAGCGACTTGTTTATAAAAACAGCACCACGTCCCTGTCCCTCAAGGTAAATAGACAGAAGCAAAGTCTACAGAATCTACAGCGGGTGACACGATCCAGCGGCCCAAGGATCTCCGGGCCCTCAGGCCAGCCTCCTCATCTGATGACCACACGTGGTACGAGCACCATCGTCCTGACACTTCCCAAGAGCCTGGATGTCAGAGTTAAGGGAAGCAGGCTCTGGTTTTCTTTGGGCTCCCTGACGAAAATGCAAGCAGCCCCCCAAAACAAGAATCTTATTCACACCTAAAACCCCACTGCCTATACCTGTCAATAGGAGGAACCCAGAACACATCTGGTGACGAATGAAGTGAGGCAGGAAAGGAGAGAGGGAAGGATGATAAACGGGAGCAGGGGTGGACAGATGGTGAATGAATTGGATGGATGGATGGATGGATAATGGATAGATGGATGAGTGGATGGATGGATGAAGAGATGAATGGATGGGTGAGTGGAGAGATGGAAGGATAAGGGATAGATAGATGGATAATGGATGGATGGATGAGTGGATGGATGGAGGGATGAATGGATGGATGGGTGGATGGGTGGAGGGATGAATGGATGGATGGATGGATGAGTGGATGGATGGAGGGATGGATGGAGGGATGGATGGATGGAGGAGTGGATGGATGGGTGGATGGGTGGAGGGATGGAGGGATGGATGGATGGAGGGATGAATGGATGGATGGGTGGATGGGTGGAGGGATGAATGGATGAATGGGTGGATGGGTGGAGGGATGAATGGATGGATGGATGGATGAGTGGATGGATGAATGGATGGATGAGTGGATGGATGGATGGATGGATGGATGGATGGATGAGTGGATGGATGGATGGATGGATGGATGAATGGATGGATGGATAGATGGATGGATGAGTGGGTGGATGGGTGGAGGGATGAGTGGATGGGTGGAGGGATGAATGGATGGATGGATAGATGGATGGATGAGTGGATGGATGGATGGATGGATGGATGGATGGATGAATGGAGGGATGGATGGAGGAGTGGGTGGATGGATGGATAGAGGGATGGATGGAGGGATAGATGGATGGATGAGTGGATGGATGGGTGGACGGGTAGAGGGATGAATGGATGGATGGACGACAACTATCCAACCCAACGCTCCCCTGAGAATGGAAGGGTGCCCCCGTAGGAAGTTACTATCTTCAAGCCACTGAAATAACAAGTCTCCTCACTGAGACTGTTCAGGGCCACACCAATGTTCCCGAGAGAGGGGCAACGTGCTCTCTTTACTCCTTGGCAGAGCGGCCGTTCCCACCTCTCTGCGCCCCTGACTCAGCCACCCCCACGGCCCTCTCCCTAAGGCAGGAGAAGCCACCCAGAGAGGACGCTCCCCCCTCAAGGGTTCTCAACCGGCCGGGCTCCCCCAGCTCCTGCCCGAGGTGGCAGCGGCGCCTCCCCTTCGGCGCGACCCGCTCCGTGGGGCGCACCGGTCTCTGGCGCTGGTGGGGAACAGGTAGCCCTTGACCATGGCGAAGGTGGACACGGCGTAGCCCAGGATGTTGGCACACCACAGCAGCGGGATCCAGTTGTCGAAGATGATGGTGGGGGGGAACCAGGCGAGCAGGTGGGAGCCCACGACCCAGAGCAGGTGCGTGATGAGCCACGCCTGCAGGCCGTTGATCTCGTACTTGTTGACGACCCCTGCGGAGGGAAGACAGAGGTCAAAGCACACTCCGGCGGCGACGGCAGCTGCTCAGGTCCTTGTCTAGGGCGCCCGGGGTCTCCAGCCTGGAGGGCCGGCAGCTCCTGAGAAAACTCTGGGCCCAGGTCGAGATGCCAGGGTACACGTCACGCTGCTAGCTCAGGACCCACATGACTCCTCCGGTTCCGACTGCCCTTGACGGCCGCGAACCCGGCATCTACCAGGTGCCGGTGTAGGTACCAGGTCCTGGGGTCTGCAGATGCTGTGACTGCCACGTGGCTTATGGTCAGAGGTGAACAAAGTGTGTCAGTCATGTCCCGGAGGCCTGCCGGCCAAGCAGGTTCGAGGAGGAATGTTGGAAAACACTTCGCTCCAGAAGATGGAGAAAGTAGCCCGCTGAGCAACAATGTAACAACGGACAGCAGGGCAGGTCACCAGGTGTACGGTTTCTGCCTTTCCCGCTAAAGATCACCCACGTAACCACGTAACCACGTAACCACGAGGGGTCTGCAGAATCTCGGTTCCTCGGCCTGGCCAATTACCGGACCACAGGGAAGCCAGGAGCTTCGCAGACTCAGGGACCCTCTGAAGCGTCTACGGAAAACAGCCAATCAGCTCCCCGCGTTTTAAGCCGCAGCTTCCCGTTCTCCTGAACCTCGGTGCTTGTTGACGACCCCTGCACACCGCGGGGGGGGGCAGGCCCCCGTCTGGGTCGCTCACGACCAGAGGCTGGGTAACCGGCCTGCACTTGTTGGTCTGGGGCTGGGCTGGAGATGCGTTGTGGGGGACACCCCGGGGGACTCGGGGAGCAGAACTCCTCCGCTCTGGACCCGGAGCCCTCTGTGGGCAGGGACCCGGTGGGATCCACCTGCCAGGCTCCTGGGTTCCTGAAGACCGTGGGGCACGAACAGACAGGCAGCCCCTGAAACAGCCCCCCACACCCATCCCCGCCCCAGAATGCCCAGAATGGTGGGCATTCGGAGCCCTCGGAGGGAAAGGCTCTGTCAACTAGTTACGGCGACCAGTGTGGGGCTGGGCCATGCAGGTCCCTCTGCTGAAGGACGTGACCTTCGTCCTCACGTCTGGGACACACCCCAGGCTGCCCACGGCTGTCGTGAGCCAGGTGCTGGGGAAACTCCGGAGCATCTTCCCGGGCCAGCGAGGAGACTTCGGGACAGGGGCAGCGGGGGGGTGCGGGCCGGGCGGAGGGAGCTTACCTGCGGGGGTCACGGCGCCCTCCTGGACGCCCCCCACGTAGCCCGGCAGAAGCTTGTGGCAGATGTCAGGCAGCAGCCAGTACAGAAGCACCTGGAACAGGCAGATTTCGTTTATCTTAATCCTCACCTGAGGGCGTTTTTCATTTATTTTCCGAAAGAGTGTGAGAAAGAGAGAGAGACACACATCGACGGGTTGCCTCCCGCACGAACTGTCCAGGGCCAGGGATCGAACCAACACTGAGGTACGTGCTCTTGACAGGAACCAAACCTGCGACTCTGGTCCACAGGCCAAGGCTCTCTGCTGAGCCCAACTGGCCAGGGCAAAACAGATTTCAAGCTGGACGGCCCATGGCCCGTGGGCTGGCTGCGCTGACGGCCTGGCTCCCTCGCTGAGGGGCGGCAAGGCCCCGCCGGACGGACCTGAGCAATCTCGTCCGGGTGGTTGTCTCTCTCTCCCGGGTCTGTAGCTCCCGGAGCTCTGGCTGTGAGCCCCCAGGGACTCCCGAACGGGAAACCGGCACCCTCTGCCCGCCAGGGTCCGGCCCACTCACTTTTGGGGACCAGCCGAAAAACTGAGATACGATTCAGACCGTGAAATGCGCCCCTTCGACGAGCACACTTGAGGGGTACCCCGTACATTCACGAGGGGCACCCCCGTCACCACTATCCGACTGCAGAACGTGGTCACCCCCACGGGGAACCACATCCACTCAGCACCCCGCCCAACAACCCAGAGTGTGCTTCCGGTCCTGGCTGACCACACCACCTGTCCACTCACCCACGACCCCCCCGGTGGTTTCCACCTCGAGGCTACGCTCACTCTGGCTGCACGAACCACTCCTACCCAACAGGACTGACGTGGGGGGGACATGGAGCCCCAACGCGAGGCCCTGGGCAGAAGCAGCTCATCGCGGTCGATGCCCCCTCCAGGGCAAGAAAGCCCGGGGTGCCTGCTCCCAGCAGCGTCCCTGGACACCTGGGTCCAGGTAGGAAACGACGCCCACCTGTTCACCGGCTTCGGGGTGCAAACACCCCTCCTGGCAAGCGCCTCCAGCCGGAAGGCCAGCAGGGTCTCACCACGGCGGAGGGCGTCCCTGGCCGGGACCCCGGCGGGAACGCAGGCTTGGCCTTGCAACCAAGTGTCCCTGTGGGGTGCGAGCTCCTTCCCGGGGGCCAGTGTGGGGTAAGAGCCCTGCCCCCTGTGCCCCACGGCACGGGGCCTCTCCTGGACCGCGGGAGGTCACACGGCAGGCGTGTCACACCCGCTGTCTGATGACGCATCCTGGCTCTGGGTGACGCCCTGCCGGGTCCCGGGAACACGGATGCCCATCTGAGCCAGGACAATGGCCTTGGCCGTCCCGGCGCCCAGCGCGCCCCGACGATGGCGTGGGGGGCACCCACCTGGAAGGTGACCCACAGGGTGTAGATCTGGGCCGCTTCCTTCGTGACCGACGGCGTCCTGGCCCAGAGGTCCGAGAGCCGCACGCGGCCGGTGGCGAGGTCCAGCAGGGGCGCCGTGAGCGAGCAGCGGTACTGGTCACAGGCCATGACGAAGAAGTACACGATGAAGGGCGCGAACAGCAGCAGGAACAGGACGCTGGCCAAGGAGAACCAGTCCACCTCCCTGCGAGAGGCACAGACGTCTGTCGGCCCGGGCCTCGGACCCCCGCACGCTGCATGTGCTCGGGTCCTGCGTCGGGCCAGCCAGCCCCTCCCAGAGGCCCGCCCAGGGCCTGGAGAACCCTCTCGAGGAGCAAGCTCTCCGCCACCCGTCGGGCACCTGCAGAAAGCCCCGGGCCCAGCGTCTGCAGGCAGCAAGGCCCTGTGGGCTGTGGGGGGCCTGCAGTCCCCCCGAGTCCCCGTCGCCCAGGAGAACCATCAGAGCGGGGCCAGGGCCAGGGGCACCAGCTGACCCTCGAGTTTTCAGTCTCCCTTTTTCGGAACTCCTTCCTTCGTTAAAAGGGGAAGCCGCCTACCCTGTCTGCCGTGACCGTACAACCGGTGTGACGGCTACGAAACCCCCAAGGGTGGCCTCCTCCCCCCGACACCCGCTCTCTCCTCGCCGGGAAGCCGGACGGGACACTTACCAGGCTCGGCCCCACTGGCCCTGGGTCACGGCCCTGCCTCGCCCAGCGGTGGTCTGGGGTGCACTGGGCAGGGATTTCGCAGCCATGGGGCCCTGAGGGAGGGAAAGAAACTGCTCAGACGGTCCCGTGGGGAACGGTCTCCCCGGACAGCCGACTCCAGGCTCGCGGGCCCTGCTGGGGCCCCTCCCCGGACAGCCGACTCCAGGCAGGGGTGACCGTGGCAGCTGGGGCTCCCCTGGAACCTGGAACCACCCCCCTGCCCCTGCTTCTGCTCAGCTCCAAGCGGCAGCAGGGCCCTGGCCGGTGCGGCTCAGCGGCGAGCGCGGCGGCCCACGGACCAAAGAGTTGCAGGTTCAATTCCGGCCAAGGGCAGGCACCTGGGTTGCGGTCTGGCCCCGGCCCTGGTCGGGGTTGTGAGGGAGGCAGCCAGCTGAGGCGTCTCCCTCTTTCTCCCCCTGCCTCCCTCCCATTCTACCTGAAGGTAAATGGAAAAATACCCTCGGGTGAGGATTAAAAACAATAACAGTAAAACATAGTCTACAGACAAAGGGGGAGGGACCGGGCGGGAGCCGGCAGTGCCCAGGAAAAGGACGGAGTCCCAGGACGGCTGCGGCAGGGGGACCAGACAGCGCCCACCCTCACTGGCACGAGAATGGCAACAGGGGAGGGAGGATGGAGAGCAACTGTGTGTGTCGGTGTGGGCAGCTCGCAGACAGAGCTGCCAGGGACGCCGAAGGTACCTGCTGTCCGCAGCTGTCCACGCGGGAAGGTCGCCGTCTGCCCTCAGCAACCAGGTGCTCACCTCCACCTCCCGTCGGGTTTCTCGCAGAGCGGAGCTGGGCCTCCGTGAACAGCTCCCTTTAAAATCTCTAGTCTCACAGGGCCTGCCTGGTCCTTCCCGACCCGCTGAGCAGAGTCCTGCCGGGGACACACAGGTCGGGGGGCACTCAGGGGCCTGACGTTTCAGGGTCCAAGGGTCAGGACCCCGATGATCTTATCTAAGGCCCACTGTCGGAACCGAGTGCGAAGTCCACGCTCGGCGCTCAGCGGTACCACCCCTCCCCGGGCAGCTTCTCTGCCCAGCACACAGCGCTTGGCACACAGTAGGTACGCAATGGGTGCGACCACACAGGTCTCCACGGAGGGGTCCCCTGAAACATGGGCTTTAAAACGGGCAGACGCAGACCTGGTCAGCGGCAACAGACCACAAGGCATTTTGTTTTGTTTTTTATCCTCACCCGAGGACACTTTTGCATTTATCCTCAGATAGAGCGGAAGAGAGAGAAAAAAAACATCGATGTGAGAGACACATTGAGTGGGACCGGGGACAAACTGCAACCGAGGTACGTGCCCTCAGCAGGAACCGAACCCGGGACTCTCTGGTCCGCAGGTCGACGCTCTAGCCGCTGAGCCACACCGGCCAGGGCACAAAAAACGTTTTCTTTGTAGACTTACACCCAGCACCCCAAGCTCGTTTCTGCCATTGGCCCATTCAAGGCCCCCGGCCCCCCATCGGGTGCTCACTCCCATGGGCACATTCCAGAAGCAGGGAGACGGACGGCACGCGGCGGCGGGGATGTGGGCTGACCCCCTGAACTCACGAACCCAGGCCCAGGAGGACCTGCGGGTGGTCGTAGTTAAATCTGGCTAAGGGAGGGTTAGGGCCCCGCACCTGGGAAGGGAGCCCAGCCAGGGGGAGAGGTGGGGTCAAAGGGCGCCCAGATTGGCTCCCCAGATGGGAATTTGAGCTCCAGAGACAAAAGGTCAAGGAACCTTGTTCCTGAGGCCTGCGGATGATGTTGTGCAACAGTCGAGGTTGACTTTTTGACGGCGGAGACATTCATTCCAGACACATCTATCCTCATAAACACAGTGCCCGCTTCGAGACACATGCCGGCATGGCTCAGCGGTTAGAGCGTCGGCCCGCAGACCAAAGAGTCGCGGGTTCGATTCCAGTCAAGGGCACGTACCTCGGTTGCAGTTCGTCCCAGCCCCGGTCGGGGTTTTGTGGGAGGCAACCAGTCGATGTGTCTCTCTCACATCCATGTTTCTCATCCTCTCTCCCTTCCTCCTCCCACTCTGAAGATAAATGGAAACATACCCTCGGGTGAGGATTAAAAACAAAAGTCACAGTCACCAGCAACGGCAGATGGGAAGCAGGGTGACCTGGGTACCTGACCACTCGGCTGAGCCTGCTTCTCGCTCCTGGTGCCTGGTCACCACCTCATGCTTCGAACGAGCCGCTGGGGAACCGGGACCCGAGGCATCCCAGCGCGGCCCTAACCAAGGCGGGCCCCAGCTCTCCCCGGTCCCTCCCCCCACCCCCTCCCGGGGCCTCGCTGTGGACCCTCCAGGCCTGTCAGCAACAACTCTGGCCCTGGGGGTCCCGCCGGCTGGTGCTGAGGTCCGTACTGTGCTCGTGGCATGAAGAGCAGCTGTCCAGCTGCAGCGCCGCCCGGCGGGGGAGGACCCGGACGAGGACCCGGGCGCCGTCATCACCACTGAGCTGGGACCGACAAGACCGATGACTTCGGCCCGTGGCAGCTTTTTGGCTCCTGGAGGGCTCAATGACATGGGGACACACCAGAGACTCAGGACCACAGCAGGGAGGGGTGTGGGCTGGCACGGACAGAGCCCAGGGGGCCCGTGGTCACCATCAAGGCCGCGGGTTCTCAGCAGGACCAGTCCTGCTGCCAGCATGTCCTGTGGCCGTGGGCCTGCTTCCCATCCGAACGTGACCACGTCGCCCACTCTGTCAAGCACGTGAGGTCAGGGAGCCAAGGGCTCAGAGCCTTACCGGCCCTCGTCCGAGCTGCCCAGAGGGAGCACTGTCAGCCATGCAGCCGTGGGCACCGTGTGGGGTCCGCTGGGCTCGGGTTCCCACGGGCAGAGAAGGCTCCAAAACCTCCCCACCACTGCTCGCTTGACCCTCAACTTAGTGGCTTAAACAAGTCTTTTAACCACCTCTCCTTGTGTCTGTGGGTCAGGAATCTGGGGAGACACCGGCCAGGCAGCAATGACCGTGGTGTCCTAGAGCAGCTGCACTTGGGGGTCTCAGCAGGCGGCCTCGGGGCCTTGGGGGCGTAAGGGACCAGCGAGGTTCCAGGAAACGGCAGAAGTTAGCTTTCCTGACCTAGCCGGGGAGCCACCCCCGGAACGTTCTGATGGTTCCAGTCCCAAGCTCACAGCTTTCGAGGGGGCAAGACATTAGGGGGACATGAGATATCCCGGGGCCATTGCTGGGAGAGACCACCTGTCACAGAAACCATCTGCAGGTTCCAGCCCCCGTTACCAGCCCGTTTCACAGATGGATGGGTCGAGGCCGAGAGGTAGAGGGCACTGCTCTGCTAACACACCCAAAGGGACGGAGCTGGGCCCGGGACCCCACCCTCCGCCCCCTGCTGGGGAGGCTGTGTCGTCACGTTCAGAACATGCCGAAAGCACAGCGGTTCTGAGCGCGGTGCCGGGTCCGGTTCTAACCTACGCAAAGCACCACATTTTGTTGGAACGATACCAGAACAGCAGGGGCTCCGTTCCAGAAATGTGTGAGTTGAAGGACTGGTGGCGACTGAAAATGCCCCCAGGGGACTCAGGACGACCGTGCAGGATAAAATTGGGAGTCAGCCAGGGTGGGCACTCTCTCCCGGAGGTCCACCCGGCCGGCGTGTCCTTGCAGAAATGTTTCCTGAGCCACTCGGGTGGCCGAGTGAGCACACTGGAGTGAGCTGCACCCCCTGGGCATCATGGCAACAACTGCCGAGCAACGAGATCACACCCACTCACCGGGATGCTCAGCAACCTTTAAAGAGAAGGGGGCTCCACGTGCAAAATGGTCCCCAGCATGTCACGGGACGAGCTAAGAGACAGCCTGTCGCTTGAAACACTACTTGAAGAGCTAAAGTCAAACTGGACATACAGGTGAGTTTTTCCCCTTTTCTGACCTTTTCTGGTAGAAATGTACTTGTGTAATAAAATAATCAAACAACAAAAAGCGCTTTTTCTTTTTTTTTTTTTTATCCTCACCTGAGGACATTTTTCCATGTTTTTGTTCAGATAGAGTGGGGAGGAGAGTGAGAGAGAAACATCGACGTGAAAGGGACACATCGAGTGGCTGCCACCCGCACGACCCAGCCAGGGCCGGGGACAAACTGCAACCGAGGTACGTGCCCTTAGCGGGAACCGAACCCGGGTCTCTCTGGACCGCAGGCCGATGCTCTAACCGCTGTGCCAAACCAGCCAGGGCCAAAAAGCAGTTTTTCTTAACGGCTCTTGGAGTTGTAAGATCCACAATTCTAGGAACGTGTGGCTCTCACTGGGGTCAGGGAGGTCACCTGTCCCCCAGGAATGGAGAGAATGACCACTGAGGTGATGCTTGGACTCACCTAAAGCTTCCCGACCCTGCCCCACCCCCTGCAGGCTGTGTGGTCACTGTCTCCACTCACACACGCATCGCTCCCAGGTGGGCGGCCCCTTCGAGCGCCTGGAGCTGGAGCACCCTGGCCGGGCTGGGATCCCGGCTGGGGCACTTTGGGAGGTCTCCAGAAACAGACGTGAGCCCTAGGTGGGAGGAAACACCCAGAGACACGGCTTGGACAGCTGCCTCTCCTCTGGGAAGGTGGCACCCTGAGAGCACGGTGCCTGCTCCCCTTGCTGAGCCGACTGCTCAGGTCCCTTGCCTTTGTCCTGCCTCCCGCCCGGCCCCAGGAGTCATCACTGCTGGCGTGTCTTCTCCCAGACGGCTTCCTGAGTTATCACACAAGACACACCCACACTCCTTCCTTCCTTCCTACACACTGGTTCCTACTCGCATTCTTCTGCGACGTCGCTCCTTCGCTCTGTCCTGTCTCAGCAGGCAACATCCACCACGTCTGTGTACTCTAGACACCTGCCCCGTGTTTCGCCGCAAATTACACAAGAGGGTTGGGCGAGTAACCCAGTGTGCTTGGATGCTTCTGAGTTCCGCCTGCAAACCACACTGGTTTTTCAGAGGTGAAGTGCCCCACGGGGGGACCTGCCCCTTCCAGACCTGCTCCTGCCGCCCTCCTGGGCGCCTTCACATCCTGGCAGACCCCCAGCTTCTCAGTGCCCTCGGCCCAGCCGTCCTACGTGACAGAATGAACAGGACGCTTCAGAATTCTCTCCAAAAGGGATTCGCCAAACTGCTCCGAACGGGCGGGGCCTTTTCACTCCAAGGCGCAGCCCCGGGGTGTCCTGTCTTAACTCTGGGCACCCAGCCCGGCACTCCGTGGGGCCTGGCCCGTTTCCTTACCTACACAGCTGTAGAAAGAGCTCAGGGGGGCACAGGGTGCTGGGTGCACCCGAGGTCAGACCACCCGACTCGAGCTCTGGGCGGAAAGCCACGGTTGAAAACGCAAACGTTCAGGAGAAAGAACCAGGCAGTGCGGAATCCCCGCTCCCTGGTCAACGCTGACCATCAGCGTGCAGCTTGGAGCAGGAAGGTGTCGGACGGTGTCTGCCCCCACTCCCAGGCCCTAAAGGTGGGCCCTGCAGCCACAGCTGTTCTCCCGGACCAAGGCGATGTCGCCAGTGTTGTGGGTTCGAACCTGGGCCCTGCCACCCTCTAAGTGTGTGACTCTCCAGGTCACTTCACCTCTGGGGGCCTCAGTCAGTTCCCTCATCTGTAAAATGGGGGCGACGCTACTACTACGGTGTTCCCAGGAATGAAGTTACAAGCACTAAGCAAGGTGCCTGATGCCCGGGAAACGCCCAGGAAGTGACAGGTCACCCAATACTTTGGATAAAAACATTCCTGGTTTCCCCTCTCCCTCCTTCACCTTCCACTGGGAACAGAGCAACTCCTACCCTAGGAGCCTTTTGTAATAAAATCCCCCAGCGTCCAGGAAGGGGCGCTCTGTCATTAGGAGCCGGCCCTCGGGGCGCGCGTCCCGCACCATTTCGGGGCACGGAGCCCCCGCCCTAACTAATCCACACCCGCTCGCGCGGGGTCCCCGAGGCAGAAGCGGGCCAACGCGGCCCAGGAGGCTCCTCCGCCCCGGCCCCCCGCGAGCTCCCGAGCAGCCGGGGGCCACGCGTCCCCGAAGGGCCGTCTCGGGGGGGCCCACCGGCGCCCCTAAGCCCCGGCCTCTCACCTGAACACGCGCGACCCCTCGCCACCTGCGCGCGGCTGGAGAACAAGGGCCCCACTCACCTGCGCGCACGCGCCCGGGCCCCCCTGAGCGCGCTCCCCTGCTCGCCTGCGCGCGATGCACCCTCACCTGCGCACCTGGCCCGCTGCCCGGCGCCCCGGCCCGCTCACCTGCGCTCTGGGTTCGCATCCTCCTGGACCCGCGTAATCCAAGCCCGCCGTAGCCGCGCCCCCACGCTGACGTGAGCGGAGGGCGACCAATCGGACGCGAACTCTGCGAGCCGCGCGTCCCTGCGCCCCGCGATTGGCCGCGGCGCCTCGCCCCGCCCCCTGAGCTGATTCCGGGCCACCGCGCGCGCCACTCCGCGGCGTCAGCCCGCGAGATTGACAGCCTGGGACCGCCCCCAGGCAGGCGGCACCTCCGCGCGCAGGGCGGGAAGCCGCGCCCCCTGCAGCCAGGCTCGGGCGCTGCAGCGCGGAGCGCGTCATCCCGCGCGGGGCTGGGCTGCGGCTCAGCCGCGTGTTCGTGGGCGAGCCGCTTACCCCGAGCAGCGGTCTCCTCGTCTGCCAGGAGGGCTCCAGAGCGCGCAGCAAAGACTCAGCGTCCGGTGTCGGCGGCTGGGTCCACAGAACAAACAAAACCCCTGCTTTGGGCGGCAGGCAGTAACCAACAAGCAGTCCAGTGGGTGTATCGGGCGTCAGAAGGTGGGGAGTGGCGTGGGAAAGACTAAAGCAGGGTAACAGGGCCAGCCTGGAAGGAGCCGTTTTATTTGGGGGTGGCAGGCGGGCTCCCTGCTAGGGGGCCCTCGCAGCTCGGTTCCCCAGAGAGCAGCCTGGAGGCGAGCAGGATGTGTATGCGGCATCGCACCTGTGCAGAGATGGGGGAGGGGGGGCAGCAGGTGCCCCACGGCAGGCCGTTCAATTGCATAGCAGGCCCCTGGCTCTGGCCAAACACGGGGGCAGCTCCGGTGATGAGAGCCTCTCCGAGTTGTCCCACTGGGCAGGAATGGCCCAACCTTGTACTCCGACCTCCAGCCATCGGTCTTTGGACATGGGCCACTCTTGCAAGGCCATGGCCTTGAGCAGGGCATTTGTACAAACAGGCAGCCCCTGGAGAAGTGGGTGTTATGAGGCTTTAGCCCCATAAAAATTAACCAGAGTTTGACCTTCACTGGGAATTTGCAAAGCAACATCCTTTGGAAAAAGGGAGGACAGGAACGGCCCCAAGGCCAGAGTGTCCTGTGTGCTCTGTAAAGAAACTGATAGGGAGAAACTGCAGCTCCCTTTACCCCCATAAAACTGTAACTGTTAAAAATATATGTATTGCACCTGGCTAACCGCTGCTATCTGTCTCTGTCGCAAGCTTGCTAGCTAGTATTTGTTTAACCCTGATTATAAAAGGGCTGAAAGTCTGCTGCTGGCTGCTGCAGTTCTCAACTCAGAGAGGCCGCAGACCCTGCGCAGGAAAATAAAGCTCCACCAAATTTAAACCTTAAACCTGGTGTCCGAGTGTGGTTGATCTCAATGGGTTACAACAGTGGGCGGCTGAAGGAGTCTGCAGATCCCACTGCCTACTTCTGGGGCACAGAGGGATCTGCTTGGCATCTTTCTGTGTCCCCCATGGAGACATTTATTTTTTCCTGCAGTTTTTTTGTTTGTTTTTTTATTCTCACCTGAGGACAGTTTTGCATTTATCTTCAGATAGAGCAGGAGGGAGAGAGGGGAAGAGAGAGAGAAACATCGATGTGAGAGAGACACATCAACTGGTTGCCACCCACATGACCCCAACCAGGGCTGCAACCGAGGTTCATGTCCTTAGCGGGAACCGAACCCAGGACTCTCTGGTCTGCGGGCCGACGCTCTAACCGCTGAGCCAAACGGGCCAGGGCTTCAGCAGTGTTTGTATTTTGAAAAATGTCAAACAAACCAGTTGCATATATAATAAAGTGACACCCGTATACCTAGATTCAGCGGGTGTGAGCTTTTCTCTCCCTCTGTGTGTGTCCTCCCATTTTCCCCCTGAACCCTGAATTAGCTACAGATGATACATCCCTCCTAAATACATCAGTAGCCCTCTCCTAAAAAGGAGGACACTCTTCTGTATCACAAATAAAATGACCACAGCTGGAAAGATAACATCAAAGCAATGCTAGTATCTAATACATTGTCCATATCCACTGTGCCCAGTGCCCTAGTAATGTCCTTTATGGCTCCTTTTAAAGACCCAGGATCTAATCAGGAAACCACATGGTGTGCTTAGTTGTCATGGCTCCTGAGCCCCCTTAATCAGAGCGGGGACCCAGCCTTTATAACTCATTTTCTTGTATCTGTTCGGTCTTCCGAGGAGCCAAGGCTAGTGTTTTGCTCTCTCTGCATTTGGACTCGGCTGTTTTCCTCACCCTCACATTTAGGCTGTTCATTTAGGGGCGGGACAACACGCTACACAGATGATGTCACGTCTTCATGCACCGTGTCACTCTGGCCCATCGTCCACAGTAAGTGTGGGGGTGCGGTTCAGGTGAGTTCTGCCAGATTGTCTCCATTTTCCTCCTGCAGTTAATTAGTAACCTGTGCAGTGACACTTTGAGACCGTATCAGTGCGCTAAACGACCTTCTGCCCAGTCACCTGGCATTTAACGATGACTCTGGCCTGAGTCGCTGATTTCGTGGTGCAAAAGGGCGAGTTTCTCATTCATCACTCCTTCAAAACCTATTAGTTGGCATTTTTCTCTAAAGATTTTTCCTCTCCTGTTTAATTGCTGTCAGTATGGACTAATAGGTTTGTTCCTCCTAGAGTTATGCTCCTGTATGTTTCTTGACTTTTTTTTTTTTTAAGTTATTAGCTTTTGCATACTCAGATTGTCCTGTATTGGGCCAGCGGGAGCCCCTTCGGACTGACTGTTTTTCAAATAGCAAGCCCCCCTCGTTTCATGAGCACTTACCTTGTTTTCTGCTACAACCAGACGCTGGAGGGCCCTCCCCTTCCCAGCCCAGGACGAGAATCAGCCACCGTGGATGGAAGTGCTGAGGGATGAAAACTACCCCGAAAGGATTGACCTGAGGATTCAGTGACCTGTCAGATACACACCCTGTGCCTTCCTGGGGTTTCCAAGTCGTCTGTCACCAACAAGCATCACTTTATAAACAGGCGGGAAAGCCATTTATTTAGGGAAAGCGAGCCCTGGTCGGTTTGGCTCAGCAGTTAGAGCGTCGGCCCGCAGACCAAAGAGTCTCGGGTTTGACTGCAGTCAAGGGCATGTACCTCGGTTGCGGTTTGTCCCCGGCCCTGGTTGGGTCGTGCAGGAGGCAATCAGTCGATGTGGCTCTATCACACCGATGTTTCTCTCTGTCGCTCTCTCTCCCTCCCTCCCACTCTAGCTAATGATAAATGGAAAAATATCCTCAGGTGAGGAATAAAAAATAATAATAAAATGTGAAAGCAGTCTGGCCAGTGTGGCTCAGTGGTTGAGCGTCGACCCTGCACCAAGAGGCTGCCCGTTCAATTCCCGGTCAGGGCACATGCCCAGGTTGCGGGCCCGATCCCCAGTGGGGAGCATGCAGGAGGCTTCTCTCTCATCGATGTTTCTATCTCTCTTTCCCTCTCACTTCTTCTCTCTCTAAAATCAATAAAGGAAAAGGGATTTTTCTTTTTAATGTGAAAGCATGTATACGCGCAGCACAGGTTAGCACTGCAAATCGGGAGCAAAGGGCGGACTCTTCCATCGATGACGGGGAGATGGTTCTAACTCACATGGACAAAAATTGGATTCCCGCCTAAGTGGACGAAAGAGTGAAATATGAGAAGGAAAACTGAAGGTAGCGCATAGGAGCAAACACTTCGGAGAGGGAACCGGGCATTGCTTAGTGTAGTGGATGCGTCGTTACCACTCAGGCAGGGTGCAGGCGGGCGTCAACCCTGGAGAAACCTCAATGACAGGTCAGGAGAGCCCGTCCGAGGCCCCGAGGAGACACCTGCAGGGATGGAAATGGTGGCAGCACCGAGTACAGCCCCGGGCGCTGCCACAACGCTGTCCATGACTTAGATGCCCGCCCACGATTGAGTCGGTAGGCTGTGCTTCATTCCTACAGTGGACAGCTGCAGAAAAACAATATATCGGATACTGAGGCAGGAGAGTAGGAAGCTGGGGAAATCCCTTGGCGAGTGGCATGAGAGAAACAGACAAAATAACTAAGCAAGGCCAAGCAAATTGAGCAATTGACAGCCAGCCAGTGAATCAATCACACATGTCGTCTTCTCCAACCAGGGACACTTAGCAGCCAATAATTTACACAGTCCAGGCTGACCCAGGGCCGACCCACCTCAGTCCTGGTCCCTTTTCAGTGACTTCTTTAAATACATGGGTTTTTATTTTTTTATCCTCACCCGAGGACATTTTTCCATTTTTGTTCAGGTAGAGTGGGAGGGAGAGAGAGGAACCAAGAGAGAGAGAGAAACATCGATGTGAAAGGGACACATCGAGTGGCTGCCACCCGCACAACCGACGAGGGCCGGGGACAAACTGCAACCGAGGTACGCGCCCTTAGCGGGAACCGAACCCGGGTCTCTCAGGACCGCAGGCCGACGCTCTAACCGCTGAGCCAAACTGGCCAGGGCTGTTTTTATTTTTTTAAAAAGAGAGGAACGGAGAGAGAGAAAAATCGATGTGAGGGAGAGAAACATGGATCGGCTGCCTCCTGCACACCCTCTACTGGGGATGGAGCCCACAACCCCGCATGTGTCCTGACTGGGAATCAAACCAGGACCTCTCAGTCCATGGGATGATGCTCAACCCACTGAGCCACACTGGCCGGGCCTTCAGTGGCTTCTTTAAAGGTGTAACTGACCAGAGAATGGCCCTGACCCCTCTATATACTCGTTTTAATGAATCAACTACGGAAGGACACACCAGAAAACTGATGTACAGTCTGGTAAGACCCCCCAGCCCTGCCCTAGGGTTCTCCGGGAGGAAGATCTCTCCGGAGCATGCCCGCTCTTGAGCATGAAGTTTTCACTTTCTGTCTCCTCAACGCTGTGGGTCCCCAGCAGACTTGCAGCCGGGGGAGCAGCTGGCTCCGGGCTCACGCCCTGACCCTGTCTCCAAGGCCCTTAGCTCACACCGCCCGGCCGGCTCGCCTCGGTCCTCCCTCCGTTTCTAAGGAGCCGAAGCAGCCCCCCAGGCTCTCTCCTGCAGCGTCTTCCACCCTGAGCCCTTGCTTCGCGCACCACCCCCAGATGCACAGATGCACTGTCTCAATGACCTGGTCTCCCGTAGTGACCTCTTTCCTGCCAACACCCAGGCCCGCCCGTCGGGGACGCTACTACCGGGGAAACAGAGCTGTGCAACTTCTGGGGCGGGGTGAATACAACCGAGGGGCGCGGGCGAGCGCCAGCCTGCCCCACAGCTGCGCGCCAGGACCGCAGGCCAAGCCCACAGCCTGGGAGCCTGGGAACCAAGAGCTCTGAGCAGGGAGCGGGGGGCGGGGCCGGCGTCCACGTGCAGCGCCAGCGGCCCTCACTGCGCAGGCGCAACCCGCCTTCCGTGGGCGGGGCGGGGCGGGGCGGGGCGGGGCGGGGCCACCCGGAAAGGCCGGGACAGCGCCTGCGTCACCGTCCCAGTGAGGCCGAAGGACCAGGTCCGCGCCGGGCAGCCGTGGCCAGGATGGGCCGGAAGGTGACCGTGGCCACCTGCGCGCTCAACCAGTGGGCCCTGGACTTCGAGGGCAACTTGCAGAGGATTTTAAAGAGTGAGCGCCGGGCGGGGGCGGGGCGGGGCGGGGGCCCTCCGCCGGCCTGGTGCCCTGGGCACGCGCAGCCTCCCCGGGAGCAGCGGGCAGCGTGGGCGTGGGCACAGGTGATGGGTCGTGACCACGCGTGCGAGCCCCCCCGGGAAAGGCGGAGGGGGCTGCAGTGCCCCTGGTCGTGCCTGCCCTCGACTCTCCCTGGGGTCCCACGTGTCACATCCAGAGCTGAGCTGCCCGTCCTGGGAGGTGTGCGAGGGCAGAGGGCGGCCAGTCACCGGAGGGCCCCACAGTGGGTGGTCTCCTGCCCGAGCACCTGCCTGGTGGGGGACGTGGGCACAAGCGGCCAAAGTGTGAAGTGGAGTCCAGGTGAGCCCTGGAGCTTAGAGACCAGGGGTCTTCTTGGCACACGGTCACCATGGCCTGATCTGGCTCACCTTGGAGCGTGGCTTTCCCACCTGCCCCGGGCAGCTGTGCCGGTGTGGCCGCCTCGGTTTGTCCCAGGCAGCTGCACCGGTGTGGCCGCCTCGGGTTGTCCCGGACAGCTGTGCAGGTGTGGCCGCCTCGGGTTGTCCTAGGCAGGTGCAGGTGTGGCCGCCTCGGGTTGTCCTGGGCAGCTGTACAGGTGTGGCTGCCTCGGGTTGTCCTGTACTCGGTACTGCGGGGGTTGTCAGGAGCAGTGATAACGGAATGGTTCCAGTGGGGACATCATACCAGGGGCTTTGTACCTTCATCCTGTGCATTGTTTTTTGTTTTTTGTTTTTTTTTAATCCTCATCCGAGGACATTTTTTCCATTTTTTGTACAGATAGAGTAGGAGGGAGAGAGAGGAGGAGAGAGAGAGAGGGAAACATCGATGTGAAAGGGACACATCGAGTGGCTGCCACCCGCACGACCAACCAGGGCCGGGGACAAACCGCAACCGAGGTACATGCCCTTAGCGGGAACCGAACCCGGGTCTCTCCGGACCGCAGGCGGACGCTCTAACCGCTGAGCCAAAGCGGCCAGGGTCTGTGCATTGTTTTTAATATCACCCTGCAGTCACCTCAGAGCTCAGAGCAGATCTGCCGGGGGTGAAGAGGGGTGTTGTCAGGTGGCCTCTCCCGGCTGCACTGGAGGCCGCCGGCCAAACCCAGAGGTCACGGTGCCTGGGACCTTCTCCCAGCCAGCCTCCGCCTCTGCTGGTTAATAAACTACCAGGGAGTGACTTCCTGGTCCGTGGGGCTGAGGGTCATTTCCCGCGGTGCAGGCGCGGTGGGGAGATGCCTCTGCCGCTGCATCGGGGCAGGGAGGTCACGGGGTGCTTTTGTGTGTTTGGCGTGTTGTTTTTTATCACACCTACTGCAGCAGCCTGTTTATTTGTTCGTCTTCGAACATGTGGGTGCTGAAGTTGCCCCTCTCTCTCTCTCTGTACACGTAGGCATCGAAATTGCTAAACAGAAGGGAGCAAGGTACAGACTTGGACCGGAACTGGAGATATGGTGAGAGTGGCACTCGGAACAACCCAGCTGGGCAGGGAGGTGTCGGCGCCGCTCCCTGCAGCCATCAGACCCCCGTGAGAGGACCTGCTCGGCGCCCCTGACGGGGAACAGGCCCCGCGACTGGGGAGTCCTAGATCCTGTGTTCCCAGCCGGCTGGTAAAGGGGGGCTCCTTCCCTTGGACCAGTGCCTGTCCCAGCTCCTCCGTATCCTGTTTGGCCTCAGCAGGCGGTCGCAGCACCTTTTCGTAGGTGACAGCTGGGACCACCCTGCGTTTCTCCAGTAGGAGCACTGACTCCTTGATGTTCTTGTCCCTTTATGCAAAAATAACCGATGGGTTGCCACATTATGCCTCTTACAACCTCAGGATCTTTTCTGACGGGGCTGCCAGCGGCCCCCTGCGCATCCCTTGGCTCCCGTTGGCCTCGGGGCTCCCGTCCAGACGCGGAGTCGCCATTGTCTCTTGTCTCTGGGCGCGCTGACACGCGGAACGTTGCACCGCTTCTGGGCGGCTGTAACCGGGTTCCATGGCTGCGTGTTTTAAAACAGCGCAAGTCCCAGCTCAGGAGGCCAGTGGTCCAAAGTCCGGGTGTGGCAGGGCTGCGCTTCCTCCGAGGGTCGAGGGCAGCGTCCCTCCTGCCGTGTCCGGCTTCCAGCTCCCAGTGCCTCGTCTGGTGGCCACCTCCGTCCAACCCCTGCTTCTGTCCTCACACGTGTCCCCCTCCATGTCTTCTCTGTCTCTTATGAGGACACTTGTCTTTGGATGGAGGACCCACCCCGATCATCCAGGATCATCCTCAGATCCTTAACTTAATTACACCTGTAAAGATCCCTTTGCCAAATAAGGCCAGTGTCACCACCCAGAGGTTAGGACATGGGCACCCCTGGCTGGGGACGCATTCAGCCCACTACCAGCACCTATAGCAGGAGCTCGGGTAGCTGTGTGAGTGGTGTTTGGAACAGTTATTAATGCTCTTCCTTGCTGGAATTTTCTGGGGCTCCCGCATTGTGTCTCTTGCACCCTTTCTTGTAGATTGGAATGATGTTGGCCGCATTAAAGGTTTAAAAAAAACCACAAGCAGACACTTTTTGACATGAGAATATCTCATCGTAAGACTAAGAAAGGGACAGGCCCAGTGTGACTTAATTTCCCATAAAATGCACCGTTTTCTGTAGCGGTGACCCTAACCCAGGCTGCACCCTCCAATCCCGGGGTTTTCGGAAGATCCCAGTGCCCGGGTCGCACCTGGGCACGCCTGACTCCTTGGCCCACGGCCCCTGTCCCCGCCTCACCCTGGGCCCCCCCGTGTGTGCCTGGGGCTCATCTTCTGTCTCCTTCTGCAGCGGCTACGGATGCTGGGATCATTATTACGAGTCGGACACCCTCTTGCACTCGTTCCAAGTGCTGGCTGCCCTCCTGGAGTCTCCGGTCACTCAGGACATCATCTGTGACGTGGGAATGTAAGTGCTGACGTGAGCGATGACGGGGCGAGCTCAGAAAAGAGGGAACTCCCGCGCGCGAGGCGTCCAGCGCAGTCCTGGCTCCGAGGGCGTGACCGCACGTTCCAGATGCGAAAGGCCTTGCATTGGAAGCGGGGTTTGGTGCCCAGCCCCACAGACACCCCAGCGGAGGCGGCCCTCAGAAACAGTGTTTGCTCTTCCAGCTGCTCTGTGCAGGTGTGAGCCCACCTCGCACAGGTGGGAGCCGCTGTCCCCTGGCAGACGGCACTTGCCTCACTTAATGGTCCCGTGTCACTCCATGCCAACCAGATAGATGCCTCCAGATGTTCATGTTCCACAGGCATTGGTATATATGGTGGAGGCCCACAGCTGGAGGCCCGTAGGTGGAGGCCCACAGCTGGAGGCCCGTAGGTGGAGCCCACAGGAGGAGCCCACAGGAGGGGCCCACAGGTGGAGGCCCACAGGCGGAGGCCCACAGGCGGAGGCCCACAGGCGGAGGCCCACAGGTGGAGGCCCACAGGTGGAGGCCCGTAGGTGGAGCTCCCCCTGCAGGTTGAGCCCACAGGTGGAGGTCACATGGGTAGGACCTGGCCTGGGGCTAGTGTCTCTGGGCCACACTTTGCTAACCATGCCCGTCTGTGGGCTCAGAGTGCTGTTCCCTCCTTCCGTCCTGTTCTGTGTCGTGAACACGGCCACCTGTGCGGCATCTCTCGCGCCGCCTGTGTGCGTGCGCCTCCTTCGTTCCCCACCTTGCTCGGCGGGGTCTCTCTGCAGCAGCATGGAGGCGGGATTCCCAGTTTGTTCGTTCAGCTTGTTCCCGTGGGCTGTGATTCTTAGTGCGTGACGGTATCGGTTTCCTCTGATTGCCACCAGGTGACCAGAGATGCGAAACACAAAGCAACACACGTTTTTATCTTACGGTTCCGAGGTCAGAAGTGTAAATGGGTCAGCAAAGCTGGTTCCTTCCGCAGGTTCTGGGGATGAATCTATGGCTGGCCTTTCCCAGCTCCTAGAGGCCACCAGCGTTCCTTGGCTGGTGGCCCCATCCTCCTTCCTCCTTCCTCCATCCTCCTTCCTCCTTCCTCCTTCCTACTCCTCCTTCCTCCATCCTCCTTCCTCCTTCCTCCTTCCTCCATCCTCCTTCCTCCTTCCTCCTTCCTACTCCTCCTTCCTCCATCCTCCTTCCTCCTTCCTCCTTCCTCCTCCTCCTTCCTCCATCCTCCTTCCTCCTTTCTCCATCCTCCTTCCTCCTTCCCATCTCCGGACCCATGACGTAGTCATCGCACTGCAGGGCCCCTTGCCTGCGAGGTGACATGTGCAGCCCCAGAAGCAGGATGTGAATATCATGGGGGGGGGGCATTCATCAGCCCCTCAGGGGGAACTTCCTCTTCTCACTTTACTAAGTTCTGTTTCCTTTCTTTTCTGTCATCTCGGCTCCACTTCCCCCAGCTGGCTTTGGGTTTATCATCCTATGTTTAGTTTCCGTTTTCACCCTATGACCTTAGCGATCATAGTTGAAGGGATTTTTTCTTTGGGAACCTAGCATTTATCTGGGCCGTACACTCCAGTGAACAGGACAGACGTCTATGGGGACGTCTTGACGTCCCCGCCTTCCTGACCTCTCCCGGGTCATCCTCCGGGAAGAAGGCACCCAGTCGTGGTCCGGCCCCTGGCTGGAGACTCGATGTCCAGCTCTCGGCGCGAAGGGCGGGCTCAGAACAGGAAACAAGGAAAAACCAAACAGACAACCTTGGAATGACGGGTCATTTTAAAACCGTCTCACTTGGCCCTGGCCGGTTTGGCTCAGCAGTTAGAGCATCAGCACTCGGACCAAAGGGTCTCGGGTTTGATTCCCGGTCAAGGGCACATACCTGGGTTGCAGGTTTGATCCCCGGCCCTCATTAGGGTCGTGCAGGAGGCAACCAGTTGATATGTCTCTCTCATCCATGTTTGTCTCTCCCCCTCCCTCCCTTCCACTCTGTCTTAAAAATCAATGGAAAAAAAATATATCCTCATTAACCAAAAAAACGCATCTTGCTTGCTTTCATTACAATGGAGTTGAACTTTTTGCTGTTTGGCCTCTTTGACTCTCCGCGTTTTGCCCACAATGGAAATGTTTGGTCACTTGGAGTTCTTTCTCTCTGGAAGGGAACCAGTCCCCGCATAGGCTAAAAATACTTTTCCTTATGTTGTTTGCTATTTAATTTTATGGTTTAAGGTTTTCTCATAGTGCTTTTTGTTTGTTTTTGTTCAAGAGGCTTACTCTAGTCAGAAATCAGATATTCGTGGCGGGTCTCTGTTGTGTTTAAAATATGTATTCACCACTCGCTCCGTACACAGGGTGTACAGATGTGTTGTGCTTTGGCTCCGGGAGGAATAGAAACCATCATGCCCGAGTCCTTCCTGGTGGCTGCTGCTGTCCTGTCCCAGGCCAGGACTGGGGGGGGGTGCCCTCCTGCATCCCGCCTTCGAACCCCCACTGGGGGAAGAGCGGAGGCCCCTGTGACTTAGCCACTAACAGCTGATTGGAACCCGCGCCACCCGACTTTAAAGCGCACTCTGGTAGCGGTTGGTTTTAGTCTCCCAGCATCACAGTGCTGTTTGCTCTGTCCTGGGCGTGTATGTATTCGTTTATCCGTTTCCCCCTGGGGGTCCCTCCTCAGTACAGCTTGGCCTCCAGCTCCTGCCGTCACCTGGGGGGATCCGCCACTGCCCTGTGGCTGTGGCCCAGCCTGCAGAGGGGTCGATGCCCCGCGGGGGAGGAGACAGGAAGCAGAGTGTCTGCCCTGAGAGGGTCCAGGACTGGGTCTGTAGGCTCCTGCGCATCCGGCCCATTGCCCTGCCCGGCACGCAGCCTGCCTTCTGGCAGGGGCTCTAGTGGGGGAGGCGCTCCGAAGAATTGGGGGGGAGGGAGGCGACCCTGGAAGGACCTTCCAGGAGGGAGGAGCCCTGAGCCTGGGAGGCGCCCCCATATCACAGGTGCGAAGCTGTCCGCAGGTTGCTAACTTGGAGCTGAGAAAGCTGCGGCCCAGCGGCCTCGGGTTCTCTGGCAGGGCGGGGGCGCTGCCATCCGAGCCCAGAGTGACCGCGCCTGTGCGCCCCTCTCCGCAGGCCCGTGATGCACCGGAACGTGCGCTACAACTGCAGGGTGATATTTCTCAACAGGTAGGTGGCCCGCGTGCGCTCCCGGGCACCGTGCTCGGACCCTGCCTCTCCCGGCCCCTGCCGCCCGACTCGGGCACCTCTGGGTGTAAGGCAGAGAGAGAACACGCGGCGGGGTTTGGGGTCGCACGGCCCTGTCGTGGGGGTGCGCGGGGGGGCTGGGCTTGTGCGGCGCCCCTGGCCAGCCCGCCGAGTGATACCTCCGGGTCTCACCGGCCCTGCCCGGGCTGGATGGGCCGTGGGCTGCGCTCGGTTCCAGGCGTGTCCGACTGAGGGCCACTGTCATCCCTGCCCAGGAGAATCCTGCTCATCAGACCCAAGATGGCCCTGGCAAACGAAGGGAACTACCACGAGATGCGCTGGTTCACCCCGTGGTCCAGGAGCCGGTGAGTCCGGGGCCGGCGCGCGGGTGCGTCGAGGTGGCCGCGCCTCTGTGCGTGCTGGGTCCAGATCCCGGGTCCAGATCCCGGGTCCAGATCCCGGGTCCGGCTTGGGTGACACAGGAACTCAGGCAGAGCCCGCCCAGTCACTTAGCGATGGCTGTTTGGATGGCTGATTAGATTATAGCCAGTTTGCCCCGCGGTGTGGCTCAGTGGGTAGACCGTCACCCCATGGACTGAGAGGTCCTGGTAGGATTCCCGGTCTGGGCACGTGCCCGGGGCAGGGGGAGGGCGTGCAGGAGGCAGCCGATGGATGTCTCTCTCTCTCCTTTCCTCTCTGTAAAGCAATAAAAACATTTAAAAAAATTATAGCCAGTTTGTCATCAATCCCAATCCCCACTCATTTCCTGAATGACTGTGTATCCGGGTGTCTCCACGCCAGCCCTGTTGCTTTGGGGGACCGTTCTCCTGTGGGCTGCCCCACTAGGCAAAGGTGTGCAGTTCGTCCCTGGCCGCCCCCTGACTCGTCCCCTTGTGACAACCAGTCTCCAGACAGTGCGGCATGTGCCCTGGGGCAGAGTATCCCAGCTCGAGAAGCCCTGCCCTGCATCCTCCTTAGGGTTCTCCCTCCTTATTTCTGGCCGCCGCTGCTGTAAACCCAACCTCGACGGTGCGTTTAGAAACAGTTCCTGGGGCCAGGGCGGAAAACTGGAATTCTGAGCGTTGCCTCTGACGTGGGCCGCCTTCCTGCGTTCCCTCACTGTGGCAGGGAGCTGCTCTGTTGGTGTCTTTAGGTCTCCTGTCCCGTGGAAATGACATAATGGTCCGCCAAGTTGACTTCTTTGCAGCAGCGACACCCCTCGGCTCATTTTGGGAGCAGGTTTGGTTGGCTGGTCATTTCTGGAGCAACGCCAGATACTTTCTAGAATGAATGTCTTTGAGAATGGGCAGTGCCTTGTGGTTCTGCCTGTGGTTTCTGGCTTGTATCCCTCTCCAGTGGTTTGTACTTGGGGGTTGAAATGAATTGGGAATGGAAGTTGGATTTATCGCCTGTCCTCGGAGCATCTGTCGAGATGAACGTAGACTAAACCTGCGCGGTCCTGGGATACACTCCGAACGGACGTGGCACGTGGAACTCCGTGTTGGTTTATGATCTCTAGTCAGGATTTTCCTCTTTTCCAGATTTAGATGCCACTGTTATGCTAGTTTAAAAACATTAAAAAAAAAACAAAAAAACTTTTTTTCTGTGCTTTGAACACTAAGTGTTATAGGAATGATGGAGCAAGGAATAAGGTGGCTAAAATTCCCTTTAAAACTTAAAATTTAGCCCAACCAGTGTGGCTCAGTGGTGGAGCGTCGACCCAGGCACCAAGAGGTCACTGGTTCGATCCTGGTCAGGGCACACGTCCAGGTTGTGGGCCTGATCCCCAGTTGCGGGGCGTGCAGGAGGCGGCCAGTTGATGTTCTCTCTCATCAATGTTTCTATCTCTCTCTCCCTTTCCCTTCCTCTCTCTGTAAAATCAATAAAGAAAAAAAAATGTTAAAAAAAAAGACTAAAAATTTAAGCATGCTATATCAAATAATTTACTTTAAATTTTTGTTGTTGTTGTTAGTCCTCATCGAGGATATATTTCCACTGATTTTTAGATACAGTGGAAGAGAGGGAGAGAGAGAGAAATATTGATGTGAGAGAGACACAGTGATTGGTTGCCTCCCAAATAGCCCCAACCCGGGGCGGGGACCAAACCTGAAACCCAGTACATGCCCTAGACCAGGAATCGAATCCGGGACCCCTTTGGTCTTCGGACCAATGCTCTAACCGCTGATCCAAACCGGCCGGGGCCCTTTGCATTTTTTTTTCATGGTGTGAATGATGTACAATAAATGCTCGGTTTCAGTGCTTTGCTGTTGCCGGTTGAGGGCGTTAGTGGGGCCACCACCCGAGGGGAGGTGGGACCTCCTGCCCCCGCGGCCCCTGCGTCGACCCTCCCCAGCACGAGCCCCGTCCTTGGACGGTCTCCTGCGCCCAGCACACTTCCCAGCCGGCTCCTGGAGCTTCGTCCGGAGGCCTGTTCCTGTGCCTAGTCAGACCCTTTGCTTCTGTGTAGAACAGTTCAGTTTTCAAGGCCGTGAAGAGCTCCGTGAGCTTGGTAACAAACCCGCCCCGCTCACTCTGCCCGGTCCCTCTTCATCTCCCGGGACCTGCGGCCCGTTGCCATGGTGACCGCCTGCTCCGGGAGGACAGGACCTAGCGCCCAGGCACCTCGGTGTCCGCTCCTCGGTGTCCTAACCCGGACGTGCAGTTTTCTGGGCACCTCCCAGCTCTGTGTTCCCGGGACTCACTCCGTCCAGGTTCAGGGCTGAGAAGGGTCGTGTTTGGAGTCTGCCTTGTCGGCCCGGCCTCCTTCCCGGGGCCAGCCGGCTTCCTGTCCCGGCCACCCTCCATCTCTGCTGTCTGGGCTGCTCACCCCACACTCCCCTGCCCCCGCCCCAGCCCCCCTGCCTGTGCTCCCCGGGCCTGCCGCCCCGCCGCCGCCCCTTCCCGCCCGCCCGCTTCTCGGGACGTCCCTCCCCGCTGTGCTTGAGCAGGGGCCGCGGCGAGGTCCTTGGCAGCAGGTGCTCCTTGGCTGGAACAGGGCTTCCCGTGGCTTCTCTACGGTTCTGACGCCACCAGGCAGCGAACTCAGTTCCCAGACAGGAGGTGCCGCCTGTGAAGGGCTCAGTCCCGCGACACTGCCCCCCCCCCGACGTCTGGCACCCGTCTGAAGACCTGCGCCTGGTCAGCGGGCCATCGCTCGGAGGTCCCATGACCCCTCCTTGGGGCAGCTCACGGAACTCAGGGAAACCTTGACGCACCCGGTCACCTGCGTTTACAAACGGATAAACCTGGGCGCAGCCCCGCGGAAGACATACGTGGCGGGGCAGGGCCCCCAGGCTCTCTCCAGGTACCCCTCTCCCTGCACCTCCAGCTGGAAGCCCCCCGAACCCCGTCCTTGGGTGTTTAGGGGGGCTTCAGTGCTCAGGCACGATTGGTTATTAAATCATTGGCCCAGAACAGCCCCAGGAGGATCAAACATCTACGTGTGACAGACCCAGGTATAAATCTTTTAGAAGATGACATCGGAGAACGTTCCGTGACCTTGGCGCAGGAAAGACGTTTGTAAACGATGCAGAAAACGCAAACCGTGAAGTCAAAGGTTGGTCGGTTCCACCTTAGCTTGGACGCAGAGGCGCTGGGCAAGTGAGGGCTCCCACAAAGCTGGTGTCTGTCCCAGCGCTGGGGTGTGGGGGTGGGAGAGGGGCGCGGGGCCGGGCTCGAACCCCGGCTCTGCCACCCAAGCGACCGAGCTCTCCCTGCCGGGGGGTCACTCCCGCCGCCTCGCCAGCCGCCCCGAGCGCCGGCCTGGCCCGTCCACTGACTGTCTTTGCCCTCGGCTCTGAGAAAAGCGGCCCGTGGTAGAAGCTGAATCAGTGTGTGTTCGTGAACATTATTGCTCAGGAGACATAAGAAACCATGAATCGGGTGACCGAAAAATGGTGGCGGAGTGAACGGAGCTACACAGACCGTCTCCCAGAACCAAACTGGAATTACAACTATAACACAGACAAATCGACGGAAAAACCAACAGAAAAGCAGCCTGGAGGACCATACAACGAGGGACACTGACTCCATCCCGGGAGGCTTGCAAAGGCCCGAGACGGGGCTGGGAGCCCACGGTCGGCAGCTCGGCAGCGGCCTCAGCTGGGAGCGGCGCCCTCGGGTCACACTACCAGGCGGCCCCGCAGCGCAGCCGGGACAGAGGCTGAAACAGCCACAGCCACTCACCTTGGGCGCCGGCGGAGGGAGGGCTGACTGGACTGGAACTGTGTCGGGACATTCGGGGTTTGGAGGGCGCTCAGAGCTTTGGCTGAGTGCAGCCACGCAGGACCGTGGCCACATTGCTCCTTCCCAGGGCTCTGAGGAGAGGCAGCAGCCCCTCCCTCGGAGATCCAACCCCACTCTGTGGGCCATTGAAGTGCTAATTGAGGCTCACTAACAACCAGCATCTGCCCCACCCTCGTGAAAGCCCCTTGGCTGAGCACTAGAGGGAGTTTTTCAATCAACTGACAACCCAAAACTCATCAATTAACCTAGACTCTAGCCTCCAGGCAAAAAGCTAGAGGATAACAGTACGTTTCCTGGGCTGGCAACTTTAACCAGGAAAGTAAGACTTGACAGTGGTGTTTAACGTGGGTCCTCCCTCGCTCATCTAAACAAGGGAGAGGGAGCCACAAACAGCAGAACACCAACACCCACAGGGAGAACTTGACAGGCTCCAAAGCCCACAGTGAGAGCCAAAATGGTGAAACACAGAAACAGAAGCCAAATGAAAGAGCAAGACACCTCCACCGAAGATGAGATCAATGTGGAGCAATTAGGCACGTTAACAGAGCTAGAATTCAGAGCCATGATCTTGAGGAAGCTGAACAGCATGAGTAAGGACATAGAGACACTGAAAATAAGCCAATTGGAAATTGAAAACCAACAAGAAGAGATAAAAAATGACATATCAGAAATGAAAAACACATTGGAAGGTTTAAAAAGCAGAGTAGGGGAAGCTGAGGACCGGATCAGTGAATTAGAAGACAGGGTAGAAAAAATCAACCAATCAGAAAAACAAAAGGAAAAAACGATTAAAAAACAGGAAGACAGCTTAAGAGAACTATGGGACAACTGGAAACGTAATAATATTCGCATCATAGGAGTCCCCAAAGAAGAAGAAAATGAGCAAGGGATAGAGAATATATTCAAAAAAATAGTGAGAGAAAACTTCCCTAATTTGGTGAAGGAAGAAGGCATTCAAGTTCAAGAAGCACAGAGTGTCCCAAGTAAGAAGAACCCAAACAGGCCCACACCAAGACACATAGTAATTAAAATGCCACAAATTAAAGACAAAGAGAGAATCCTAAAAGCAGCAAGAGATAAGCAACAGGTTACCTACAAAGGGAACCCCATAAGGCTCTCA